ATATATATATATATATATATATATATATATATATATATATATATATATATATATATATATATTGTATGCCCTTACAAGTTTTAAATGTCCTTACCCGTGGAGCTATATGTCTGAAAGAAACCCTGTTATTGCTTATCCTTCGATCTTACCCTACTTTAAGAAATATTTAACTTAAAACAAACATTGCATTACTTCAACAGTAAGGTCTGCTTGTCGGTTGGCGAAATTTTTGGTCGAACGTCAATTTGATTAATCGATCGTTCTTCTTTTGGCTGATGTTATTTTTTTTTGTTAGGCTACGCTACTCTTTTTGGGAGAGTTTTGCCCCCCCCCCCCCCCAATCGTCATAAAAAGTTAGTCCCCTCCCTGAATCGGGTCACATTTCTTCAGTATTACAATAAAACCTTCCCCTCTCCCCGTATGGCAATTTTTGTTTTGTGAAAGAGCGATTCCATAATGAAAAAGAAAGCTTTAGGCCTACGGATTATTTTAAATGAGAAAGTTGTGATATTTTTTAGTCGTATAATAATTCAAATTGATAGGCAAAATGTTCTTAAGAGCTTTATTTAAATTTACTCATCTATATGTTTAATTTAAAAATTTCTATATTGTAATAATATTACAGTAATAATATTACAGTATAGAGATTTTTAGAAATATGTATTAGAATTAGACATTGGTCTAATGTTTTTAATTTTCAAAATTTAAAAAAATTCATAAAAAACGTTTTAATAACAAGCTTTTATGTAATGATGCACTAAAAAGTAGAAAATAAATTATAGACTACTATTTAAATAACTATAAAGAAAAGCGTGGGTCACTTTAGTATCTATTGGATACCTTTACTAATGTTAAGGAAGACACCCACGCTTTTCTTTATAGTTATTTAAATAGTAGTCTATAATTTATTTTCTACTTTTTAGTGCATCATTACATAAAAGCTTGTTATTAAAACGTTTTTTATGAATTTTTTTTTCAGTACTTTACATGTTTTATCTACAATAGAGTTACATGACTAAAAACCATTGCGCGCCTACTGAATATCACGTTCAGTAGGCGCGCAATGGTTTTTGAACGCAGCCATTACGTGGTCATGATGGCGCAGCTATTGATGACGCGTGTGGTGTGGTTGGCTAGACATGCCTACTAATTCGGTCCAAATTTTAATTAATTCATAAAAAATCAATTAGGCATCCAATTAAGTCAAATTTAGTTTCAGATTGCATTGTCTTCATGTCTTGACCCACGTGCCAACTGTGAATCGTGTCGGTCAAGTAGAACTGTCCGAATTTTCACTCCTGCGTTTCCGTCTAGACTGACGACTGACGACTTACGACAGACAGAGGAAGTGAGTTAAATAAAAGCTTGTAAAAATCGGTCGAGATAGCTTGGACAGGAAACCCGCCAAGTTTCGCTTCTCTTTGCGTTTATGTCGTTGTCCAATGAAATTACAGATTTTATTTTTGGCTCTAGCGGAAGTTTTAGTAAACGATTCAACTTTCGAAAGCGGCCCGTTTGAAAAAGGAGGCGTTGGAGTATATGACTGGCGTTTGAAACACTGATTGAGATAGAAGAGGAACGCTTGTTAGAAAATAACTTGACATAACTAGGATATGAAAGGTAATTATAAACACCCAATCTCTGTTTAGATTAAGCTCGAGATATAAAAAATGTAGTCTAGATCTAATTTGCTGGATTACAAACTGAAACGTTTTATTTAAAAATAAAAACAACTTGCATTAAAAAACACTGTCACTGACTCACTGCAGTGATCAATCTGCGAAGCTTGTCGACTAGAATCTAGATCTAGAGGTGGATTAGATTAGATCTAGAATCTAGATCTACATTCTAGATCTATATCTAGAATCTAGATAACTCCAGTATTTTATTAGTCTAGATTAAAAAAACTCTAGATCTAGAATCTAGAGATTCTAGTTTATTTTCTGCACTGCAGTTTGATTTGTTTTGTTTTCCTTCCAAGTAACAAGTTCAAGTAATAAAGTATAGATTAGACTTAGAGATCTATCGGTCTAGACCAGAAGATCTAGATTCTAGTCGAGATCTAGATCTAGATCTAGACTAAAATCATTAAAAATCTAGAATCTAGCTGGTAATCTATCCTTTTAGGTAGTTAGTCTCATATAAATTCAATTTTCTTCAAATTATAAAAAGAATAGCATTAGGTCAGGGGTCGGCGACCTGCGGCTCACGAGCCGCATGCAGTTCTTTTGATGTCAAGATGCGGCTATTCAGCTCCATGCCCACATATTAATAGGCCTATTCAGTTATCTATAATATTCAACACAAATATTTCACTATACACTTCCTTGACAATGAGGTAACTTTTTTGTACATTACAAGCCGCGGCCGATTTGACGTACCTAAAGCAATAGGTTACTGAGTGGATTCTGGTCTAGATCTAGTCTAGATTCTAGGTGTTATCTAGAATCTAGCTTATCGAGAGACGAGAGGCTAGAATCTGCTATTAGTCTAGCCAATCAGTTAATCTAGGCCAAAATCTAGATCTAGGGCGTATAAAGTATAAAGTACTATAAACATATACTAGATCGATAAAAATAATATTTTTAAGTATAAAGTCAAGTGCGGTTCTCTAGATCTTGATTGAAAATGGTTAGATCTAGACTCTAGACCTAGATCTAAAAATACTAAAATCAAGTTATTAGAGTTGGTCCTACCTAAGACTAGATCTAATCGTCTAGAGCAAATTAATCACCAGCACTGAGTAGTAGGTTGTAGATTCTAGATTGAACTATAAATTATAATTAAGATCAAGCTGATACTAAAAACTTAATTCTAATCGAGACTAGAGTTTAGAGAATCTAGTGACATAGTAATAGAAGGCGGCATATACTAATCATTTAGTGTATCCTAAAACTGTTACTATGCTTAGCTATACTGTATGTATGTACAGTGTAGACAACAAACTACAAGACCAATTAATAGATTTCAAGGCTTAGTTATCTAGATTGATATTAGAATAAATTCTAGGCAACATTTTATTCTATAATTGGTAATTTTTTTAGCACATTTTTTATTCTAACACTAATAGCAAGATTCACCAGGCTGACTTAATGTAGTAAATAGATCTAGATTTACTTCAGAAAGCCTAAATTAAATGTGCACCTAATTAAATTACGCTTGCTTGTATCCATGTGATCCTTCATAAAACTATTAGTATTAACCCTAACCTAACAGCTATTTTTATAGCCGTTTACTATAATAATGTGGTTGTTAGTTTGTTTAGTTTCATAAGTAGTAGATCTATTAAGGATTGAACACAGACATGAGATTTGTAAAGAGACTGTTTAGTTAATTTTTATGTGTGACTTTTTGTTATGGCTAACTCACTATTGCTGTTTCTGTGAACTTTTTACAATGTTATTACAACTGTTTGTTTGCTTTTGCCAAATGTATATACAATGTTGGATATATTGTGCAAATAGTCTATGCCTAGATCAGGGGTCTCCAAACTTTTCAGTCCGAGGGCCGCATTAACTATCAAATTTCAGTTCGGGGGCCAGTTTCTTCCAGGCATTTCTTTGCTTTTTCTGGGCAAACAAACGTTTTTTCCGTGGACAAAAAGATCTCGGCGGGCCGGATGAGAGGTCCTCGCGGGCCGCATCTGGCCCGCGGGCCGTAGTTTGGAGACCCCTGGCCTAGATCATAACTATTGCACTGTTAAAAGCTTAAATTCTGGTCTGTATGTGTGTGTGAAATAAAAATAAAGTACCTCGCCCATTTACATCCAAATGAAACGGGTACAGATAGAACTAGATTCCTTACTAAAGCAATTTGATGTTGATGCTTTTCTCTGTAGATTTAACAGTTAACTCTGCAGTGGATGAATATTCACCCTCTGTGATCTATAATTAATCCATAGGCCAATTTTTATAAAATAAATTGGCAGACTGTTTTTAGTTCATATTTGCTGGGTAATTGCTTCTGTCTAATCTTATTACAGTAATTACTATTGTTCATAAGTTCATAGTGAGTTGACCATTGTCATTTTTAAAATAAATTATTAATATTAATATTGTTACTAGATCTAGTAATTATCTACAATTTCTTGTATTAGTACTATTATTATTATATTTATGTTTACCTCAATCTGTATACTAATTACTTTAGTAGCATCAAATAGTTGAGAATTATCATTTATTATTAGTTACTAGTTGCCTCAGTATGGGTGACACAGTGGAATGGCTACTTAGATCTAGACTAGAAGCAGCATAGGAAAAACTGTTTAATCTTACTATTATTATTACTAGATCTATAGTTTCTATTCTACACCTATTCTTAGTTGTATAATGAATATTTTGCCTATGCGTTCTTGTATAGCGGCAATCGCTCGTGGATATTAATCTAATCCCTCTCCAGTGCACAAAAAGTAGATTGTATAATTATTGAGTCCTATATTTATTCTAGTTATTATTAGTTTCTTCTGGCGAAATAATTTTTCGTTAGGTCTAGATCTAGATCTACATTTTTTTTTCTTTTATGAGTAGATCTCTAGACGAATTCTACCTAGAGAGGTCTAAACACCCCATTAAGAATAAGCCCGTTGGTCGATGCGGTCAGCAAAAAAAAAAATAATTTCGTTTAGCATTTGCCAAAATTTTAGATCTAGTCTATACATCCAGATCTAGACTCTAGACTCTATGTCATTTTTGTTTGTAAAACTGCGCGCATTAAAAAATGTACTAGATTCTAGGCCTAGTTCTAGATCTAGATCAATGTATAGTGTCGACTACTTTTTTCACTGACGCTCTCTGCCCTCGGCAAGATCAGACTGGCCTAGTTTTCCGGTAAGAGTCGGCGAGCTGTTTCATTGGCTCATTCGTACTTGTTTTTACAGCGTCGATCCTGTTGCCATGATAACGCGTAAAGCTCAACACAGCTGGGCATGTTTATGATTCGATATTCGTGTTTAGACATGGTGGCTTTCGTGACCTAAAACTGATAAGAATGTAGTCAGTCGATCACTATTTTGCACGTTGATCGCATGTATTTCATGGATGTGTGATTTTATTTAAAACAATAATTAGTTAATAAATATAGATCTAGAATCTGGTTAAAAATCTTTTGGCCTGCTTCGTTTTTCATCTATGGATTAGAATTGATTAGATCCATTAATTTTTGGGGTGGTTTGTGTAGGAAACTTCCTTCTTTTTCAAAGTACTAGATCTAGGTCCAATTCAGTATTACTAATAATATAATAGCTTTCACCGTGTGTGTAGGTTTATTCGTCAGCGGTATCAGCAGTATGAAAACGATGTTTCTCAGTTTGATTTCAGGTTGGGTTTTTAGAATTAAAAATGTTAACTAGGTTTACTTATTAGATTTTTTAAATGCTGTATTACTGATTTACTGTCAGATTGTACAGATCGATTTTATCAATACTTGTGCAGTTAGAACAAACTAAATGTGAAATATGTAACAGATAAAATATGTGTAATAAATTATAAAATATTTGTTAAAAACTGTATTTACTTTTCATTAAAGCATTAAAGCATTTAGGAAGCCTCCAAATTAAAATTAACACAGAAGAAAATGCTGAGAAACAGCCAACAGAAGGAACAAAAACAAAAAGTTTTCACAATGCCTGTTACAGACCCCGTACCAGGAGTACTGTCACTATTTGGAATCTTCCTGACTCTGTTATTGTACACATTCTGAGAGGGATGCATGTTTGTGATTTATTGTCTTTCAGATCTGTAAGTTTTTTTTAAATACAAAAGTCACAAAGTCTATTGGTTAGTTGTTGTTACAAATACCTTTTTGAATAGGGTTATGTCTTTTACAGTTGTTGTTTGGTTACTTGGCTATTAATTTATTTAAATTTTACAAAGAGGTAGCTGACCAATAATGTTATGGGCCTGTTGATTACTTTAAGGACCATATGCACATATTTTTGCTACCCAATTAATAAAACTTTTATATTTGACTCACTAACATGTTTGTCTTCAGGTTCATCCATGTTACCGTGATATTGTAGACAACAACAACAGTTTGTGGTGTTATGCCTCATTTGCTGACACTTGGCCTGATGAGAAAAACCTTCATCATTTTGTCAAGTAATTACAATTTTAACTAGATCATTTATATTTTATTATTTTAATTCTGAGTGCTGTATATGACAAACAAATTATTTAAAACAAAAAAAACTTATGCTGATGTTTTAATCAGGGCTGCAGAGAAAAAGAACATTGAGGCTGCTATTAAACTTGCTGTTGCATACCTCTATAAGGAAGGCTGTAAGTATTATTGCATTTTCAATAGCTGTGACAATACAATATTTTCATAATTTATATTTATATATATATATATATATATATATATATATATATATATATATATATATATATATATATATATATATATATATATATATATATATATATATATATATATATATTATAAATTCTGCGACCACTTTTAGAACTAAAACTAAACATCTTCCTTTTTTTGTTTTTTAAATGGAGATTTGTGATTATTTATGTTCAATATAAAAATTCTGATTCCTCTAAAACAATTTTGTTAAACATAAAGGTATAATTTTTCAATTATCTGTTTTATTTTCAGTAACCAAAGAAGATATATCAAAAGTCAGCCTTAAAGCTGCCCATTATTTATGTTTAGCTGAAACTTTAACTCCAAATACGTTTCCATTTTTCTGGATATTTATACGACCACCTTGGTCACCTGATGGATCTTGCTGCAAAATTCAAACATTCCTGCACATAAAATCAATATTAGAAAAGGTAGGCTTTAAATTTACTGATCAATTAGTTATAGATATTGTATAAATTCTTCTCGTGCTGATGGCTTACTAACGTGTTTTATTTTAACAACCAGACGGAAAATCCTGATCTGGCATTTGGTGTTGCATTGACTCTGAAGTTACAAAGGCTTTCCATGCAAACCGACTCTAAAGAGGAAGAGCAGAAGTATTTTAAAATAGCCGTTGAGCAAAAGTCTGCAGCTGCTGCATTTTTTTCACTCTTAGATGTCATCCCCGAAGAGGTAAATTTTCTTTAATTAAAATAAAATTAACGTTGACAGTATTTAGTTGTTTTTTTTTCCCCTTTTCTTTCCATACGTTTAATCGGTAATTTTTTCTTTTCTTTGTAGCCTGACAAAGCCAAGGAGTTGGAACGCATTAGGCTCTTTAGGCACATTGCCTCCAGTAATGTTCTAGAAGCGAAATTGAGCCTTATACGATGCTATACCCAAGGCCAGTATGGAGGCATTTCAAGTTTAATGGCTCAGGAATTTGTACAGCAATTTTTTTCTTCATCTGCACCCTCAGGAATTCATCTGACTTTCACCAGTGGCCGAACATCAGATATCAGGTACTTATTTTTCTCTCTTAACATGAATTAGATAGGCAAAAGCTATTTTTTTTTTTTTTTTTTAAATTATTGTAACATTTAAGGGCATGGGCGGGTGATGAGTACCAACTTCCTTATTTCCGGGTCTAAAGATGTAGTACTTGGCTAATAGTTATAACTCAAAGAGTTAAGCATAAAAATATTTTTTTAATTCTTCCGTTGCCATGGTGACGGCGGCCATATTGGATTTTATTGACGATTTTAAAATGGAAATAACTCAAAAATGGTCTGTACAAATTTCATGAAAACTTAATATATTCTGCAGACACATGTGTTTAAGACTTCTGATAGATTACATTTTCAAAAAAGAAAATAGGTTTTTTTTTTTACTTTTTTTTTTCAAACATCGCTGTAAAAATTTCATTATTTCGTCCAATTTTTTCACTATTTCAACAACAAAATTTTTTTTTTTTACAAAAAATCCAAAAGTGTTCTATCAGTTTTATTTGAACATATATAAAGAGTAACTGGAGCAAATTTAGTTCAGTTCTGATAATTATTAACAAAGTTATTTCAACAATTGTACAAAAAAACATCAAACTGAGAAAAACGCAAAAAACTAACAAAAAGTTGCAAAAAATGAAAATTTATCGCTGTATGTCACTAAAATCGACCACATTTATAGCCTGAAGTATGGTGCTGCTGAATATATTCCTTCTGAGCTTGTTCAGCTGTTAGTTTTCTTTTTTTTACCTAGAGCTGTAGTAAAGCTGTTGTCATGGCGTCTTTTTTGGCGTCGTTCACTGGGTCTTCGACTATGGTTTCCTTCTTTTGACAGCAATGCCATAGCATGCCTGGGCCCAAAATTGAATTATTCTATCGCAGAAACAGCAGTATATTTTGTATGGTCTCATGTCTAAAGCCAATTATGATAAGACGATGTCTTTGTCATGGCGTCTTTTTTGGCGTCGTTCACTGGGTCTTCGACTATGGTTTCCTTCTTTTGACAGCAATGCCATAGCATGCCTGGGCCCAAAATTGAATTATTCTATCGCAGAAACAGCAGTATATTTCGTATGGTCTCATGTCTAAAGCCAATTATGATAAGACGATGTCTTTGTTTATTGTGAAAGGCGTTGTTCTGGATTATTTTGCAGTTGTATAATTACCAGTGTCTGTAAAACTGTGTCTTACATTGCCACAGTTTCTTAGTAAATGTGCATATTACATCTGCACCAGTGCTTGTCTGAATAGTGCTAGATTGAGTAGAGGTAGCTGCAATCAGTTTCATTCGGACGTGCCCTAGCTTTAGTAAATTAGTTAGATGTGTGTATCTATTTTTAGCGAGTGTTTTGTTCTACCCATTATCGAAAGAGAAACAAATTAAATCGTCTCACTGCTTATGATAATTCACACAAATTAATCTAAACTGTTAATATTTTATTTAATTGATATAATTATATGTTAAAATAATGAGTATTTCACAGAAGCTTAGAGAAACAAAACTAGATCAAACTTAGCAACGCGCTGAAACTAAGGGAATGTTTACTTCCGAAGCGAAACGACCAATCGCTAACTAGCTTCCGCAGTTGTATGCCAATGAAAAAATTGAGGTCAAAAATTTGCATACCGGAAAAACCTGACTTAGTAAAATAAACAACTTTATGACGTAGAAAAATAATCCCATTAAAATAGGTATTTTGATTGGTCCTTTAATTTTAGAACAAATAAAGAAAGGAGGTCACGGCCTTTCCATTGATATGAAACACATTAGGCTTCCGCGAAATCTAATAGTATTTTTCTAGGTCAAAATTTGGCTATTTTTACCGAAAAAGTGAACAAATGACCCTGAACACACCACTTTGAACCCGGTTTTTCATAAATAAATAATGTTTTCAGGGTCATAACAATGTAATTTTTAGATTCAACGATGGTTATTCTGTATAGATCAAGTAAAAGTGGGAAATCGATGATTAAGTGGATTTATGACGAAAAGTACACCCGCCCATGCCCTTAAGTTGTGAGTTAAGATGTTTAAAACTTCAATGTTTCATTTTGTCTCTTTTAGCCGCTACATTTTAGTTGACTGGTTGGTTGAGGTGGTTGGAATGAAAGACTTCTCCGCACATACATTATATCTGGCTGTGAGCATGTTTGACAGATTTTTGCAAGTTAGGAAGGTGCAACGTAGTCAAGTTCAGTTGCTGGGTGTGGCAGCCATGGTTGTCAGTTCAAGGTTAGTGTTGTTAATATACTTTAAAAATAATACACTTAAGGTTGAATCTAGAATTATACAGGTTGATTAAATGCAATAGAAATTAACATTGAATGTTTAATTTTATAGATATCTGGGATTTGATATACTTACCATCAAGGAAGCGGCTTGGTTGACCGATAATAGCTATACCTACCATGATGTTGTTAGGATGATGGGTGAATTAGTAGCTGCATTGAATGGAGATTTACGGGTAAACTATTTCAAACATTTACACTCAAATAACAAACCGTCTGTTGTCTTGAATTTTATTCCTGAATTTTCCTTTAAGTTGTGGTGTCTTAGACTTTTCTTACCTCAGATTGCTATATTCTTCTAGTAGATTATTATTTCATTAATGTTTATTCAATACATTTACTTTATACTCTTTAAAATTCTGAATAGGTATTGACCATTCAAGATTATATCAAGGTGCTTGTGTCCATGGTAGGAGAAGTTGGCTACTCTGCCATGTTGATTGAATACATAGCCATGTTATGTTTGCTTCAGTCTGAGATGGGGCAGTATAGCCCAGCGGAGATAGCAGCATCATGTTTACTGCTCTCTAGGCTCCTGCTCAACCATGGTGAGAATTGTGATTATTGTTATGCATATTTTAAAATGAAAAGGTACTAAATCAAAATTACATTCAGCTGGCTTATGAAAGTACTTTATTCTTCATTATTTGACATTTGTTATTTAATATATTGTACCTAAATATAAGTGACATTTTAAAATCTTAATTCAGCTGATCCCTGGCCAACAGTGGTTCAAGAATGGACAGGATTTAGCCAGGATTCACTCAGTCTCTGTACATTTCATATCTACAACAAATGGTAGGTTAAATTATTAGGACTTGATTAGCCATAAAAAGGACATAGACTCGTTTTTACTTTCAGTTTACTTAATATTTATCAAGTAAGACTTGGCAGCTGTACACTTGTAGTACTTTTTCTGTATTCTAGTTGAATTAGGATAACTTAACTATTAAATACTATGTAAATTTGTAGTACATTACACCTGAGTCCATATAGTGGTTCTTTAAACAAAACAAGTTCTACAGAATATAAATCAGGAACAGCCCATATTTATCAAGCCGTATTTTAGATAGTTTGTGTTATGAAGTATAGTTTAACATACTAATTATCAGCGAGTTGAAAGCTGTATTCATTACTTAACAAAAAAAATTTTTTATGCGTCTAATTTACAATAATAAAACTTTCAAGTAAACAATATATTGAACAATAGGTGATTAATATTCTGATTCTGACCAGAGTTTTTGCATACTTAAATTTCAGTTTGCTAGAAGGTTCTGAGGTTGAATACAGAGAGACAAAACTTCAAGCTGTTAAAATGAGATATGCAGATGTCAATAGATATTCAGTCAGCAGTATTGAGGTATTTTATTTCTTTTAATAATATAAGTTGAGTAGTTTTTCTACAAATCACTGGTGTACATATTCATTATATTGTATTTAAATTTTACCATTTTGTCTAATCAGATTATAGGTCATAAAGAACTTTGCCGCCGGCTTGGTGTCACTAAACTTATCAGTGATGGTAAAGATACTAAGGCTATCAAGTTTAGAAACACAGATGAGTTGATAATGTCTCCCCATAGAAGCATGAGTAAAGATTATCATCGTCATCTAAATCTGTCATTTGAGGAAGGTTGGCTAGATCGCAGCAATGCTGCTACTCCCCCAATAAAAAAAGCCTATGTTCTTGATGAAGGTGTGAGTGGCTATGAAGGTGATCTAGAGGATGATTCTGATGGTGAGAAAAATTATTTTTAATTTAGGTATTTCCTAGTAATGTTAAATTAGTAGCCATTGATTTTTAGATGTTGAAACAGAAAGCATTTTCTTTAGGTTTCATTTTTTTATTTATTTTTCCTCAGAGTCATTCAGTGATAAATCAGACGTGCTGTATGAGTTAAATGAGGAATCGGATCTGGACAGATCTGTCTTGGTGGATGCAATAGACAACAAAGACCTGGATGTTTCATTAGTCGAAGATGATGAAGAAAGTGTCAATAGCGAGTCCGCAATGATTAGTGGCACTACTTTGTTCAGCTGCCTGCGCATTGATGAGAAACTGGCCTGTTTATCCAGCATGTGTCTGTCAGGCAGCAACATGGCTTGTCATTCTGCCAGATTGTCAACATCTTCGTGTATTTCTAATTGTTCATGTGTGAAGTCAAAGTCCTATACCTTAGGCTCATCCAGCGTCACATCAGGGTTTGCCTCTTCCTCTGGTTTATCCTTCTCCTCGCCATCATTGCTCTTTACGTCTAGTGCATCAACTTCTGAAAGCTACAGCAATGTACAAAATGCTAGGATGTGTATACCCTGTGGGAACATCCAGTCAGCCCCACGCACCTCAAGGAAAAGTAAAGGAAATGCGAATAGCTTTAACACAACAGCAGATGTGGAGCAGCCATGTCTATTCTCTATCAGGAAATCCAAGTCTTCTGTTGATTTATCTTCTTTCTTGCCCGCTGCACCTTCAGGTTCTAGTTTGAGTGCCCAGGCAAATGCTTCATTGAACAAACAATCCAGTCATGATATCAGCCAATCTTTCTACTCACTGAGACCATCCCATGATCCTCAGCCACCCGACAGTGAACATAAAATTGTGTCCACCCCAGGCAACTCTCATAGCACCACTCTCAATTCTACCACCCAGTCGTTCAGACTGTTACCAACTACATGCTCTGGGAAATATTTGTCCCCCACAGAAAAGAATGCAGTGCGTTATCAATCTACAACAGACAGAACTGATCTCCTGGTACCTGCCACCCCTGAAACAGTGCCAGAAACACATAGCTCTAACAGAGCACCAATGAGAAATACTGAAAATCTTTGTTCCATCTCTTCAAGCAGTGCCAACTCTTCAGGTTATACTTTAAAAAAGGCAAGGCTGGATTATTCCGATTCTTTGAGATCTGCCGTTGAACTTGCTCAAAACAAGCTTGGCCTTACTGCCAGCATCAGTAACTGTGATAAACCAAGTGAATCCAATTTGCATTTCAGTCCCCTGATTCGTTCAGAGCAACCAAGTCAGTATGTGGAGAGTAAGAATGTTCAGCCGCTTGCCAGGAGAAAGAGGAAAAGTTGTCTCTAGAAGTGGTGTTTAAAAGTTATTTATTATACTCTTTGAGAAAAAGTTGGCCATTGCAAGATTTTCTTTTAAAAAGATTGTTTTATTTAAATATTATAGTCTTAACACAATTGTTTTATAATGGATGTGCAATGATTACATCAACATGTGGTGCAACTGTGTATTCAGTTTCATTTAAAGTATTCGTTCTGTGTGATTTTTTTTTCCATTGTGATTTCTGTTTCAAAATTGTAGTTTTTTTTTTTTTTTCTAAAATTGTACATAGGTGGTTTAACTGAACCAAAAAAGTATATTGTGCTTTTATTAACCTCTCAACTCACATGAAAAATTGTATGTATTTTTTCCACTGCTAGAAATGCAGAGCATAATTTTTACGTTACCAACCAACTGTAAGTGCTAGTATTAATGAATAATCCTGACAGACAGTAGCATTTTTGTCCATTAAGTTTATTTCTCATAAATATAAAGTGCAATTTACCATATCACCTTTTTTTTTTTATCCTGCAAGTTTTTTTCTTGCGGCTTTTTGTATTAGAACCATAGACATAGATTCATCTCATTTTCATTGTCAAGTTTTATCATTCCAGAAACGCAGCATAGGTAATTAATCATTAAGAAATCATTGATAAAATACTGTGTATTTAATTATCGACACTCATCAACACAGGTCTCAACAGGGCATCAATTTGTATATTTATCAGTATTTATTAAAGTGAAGGCTATCTTTACTGCACTGCTCATAGTAATAGTCGTATTCAATAAGTTTACAAATACATTTTTTAAAAATGTGTATGGTATTGATGGTGTATTATTTTATTACTTTTTTACACTTAAATGAATGCATATTTTTTTATACATTGTTTTTTCCTTAGGAGAAAAAGCTCAACACTAGGGAATAAACTGCAGGGGTTTTTGTTATTGATTTAGTTTAGATTGTAGCTTGAGTTGACCAGTAGGTTTTAGCCAACTACTGTTCACACACACACTGTGCCAAACAATGTTAACTCTTCCCCTGGTTGTTTCTGTTTACTGTTTCAAATTAGCTAGCCAATTGAATAGTAGATTGTATAACTTCTTTCAAGAAAATGTATGTTATTTTTTAAATTCTTTGTTTACCTATCTATTGATCTCTATTATAAGTACTATATGCAACCTTGATAAAATCTCATAACTGTTTGTGTAAATTCTTACTGTTGTATTGTCTTGTTTAGAGTAATATAAACTTTTTATTGATTTACAACTTGATCATTCCCATTTCATGACACCTAAAGTGTTCTTGGGTAAAGTAAACATAATTCCTTGGTAATAATGATGAATAGCTTTATGAATATCTTACAAGATTCTTTGTTAATTACAGCTTTATGATTACCTTACAACCTCCATGTTTCAGTAATATTTTAAACTGTTTCGACTAGCTTTACAATTTCTGTCTTGTGGTAATCAGTGGAGTATCTCTTTATCATGGCTTTAAGTTTTATTTTTCTAGTACATGTCATCCTTACCCCTTGCCTTTACCTTCTTCGTTATTCTTCATGTGGTGTGGGTAGCTTTTATTAATCCAGTTGACCCAGCAGCTTTTCCATCTATACTACACACAGAAACGTGTGTATCAACATGGCTATCAGAAAACGAAATATGTGGGATACAGTGTTGGCCTATATTTAATACTTTAAACCATATCTATATAAACACATAATATTGTCCTTTTATATTGTTTGTACTGTTGTCTTGACTACTTCATCACAGGGTTACGGTTAGTTCCTTTGGTGATACTTGTGATGGCATTGTGATTACAAGTAGAGTTAACTAACCCTATAGCACCAAGTATATTTCTTACGAGACTTTACCATCACAGGGTTACGGTTAGTTCCTTTGGTGAAACTTGTGACGGCATTGTGATTACAAGTAGAGTTAACTAACCCTATAGCACCAAGTATATTTCTTACGAGACTTTACCATCACAGGGTTAGGGTTGGTTCCTTTGGTGAAACTTGTGACGGCATTGTGATTACAAGTAGAGTATAACTAACCCTGCAGCACTGACTTAACCATCTATATGTTTGAGTACAGGCCAGATGTGCTTGTATTCCCAGGGAAACTGATACATCCCTGTCTTTTTATTGCTTCCATGTTGTTGATTGTTGTGGAGTTTTAATGTAGCCACCATTCCTGCTGATGAAGCAGTTTTTTTTTTTAAACTACCTATCAATATTTGATGTCACTTTGGTTACAAAAATAGCATATTTTATATTTAATTATAAATGTCTTTTATTGTATAGATATCAAATTAAATAAAATGTTATAATATATACATTGTTTTCTGTTATTAAACGTTTTAAAAATTGGGGGGGTTACTGCAGTTGGCAGTATAATTTCAAAGTATGAGTATCTACTTGTGATAGCCGTCACTCCTTGAGCAGCATAAACACATAAACCAGTTCTGGCTGGGCCAACATTTCTAGCTGTTTTTCTAAACTTCTATACCTAAATATAGACATGAGTCATATAGTGAAAAAAAACTTGGATTATTGGGAAATTTCCTTTTATTAAAAAAATCATTTTTTTTTTCATTTCATTCCACGTGATGCCAAAATAATAAAATCTGCCAGGTTATCCCCCTTACGTGGCCTCACGTATTATTTATATAAAACAGCTCAGCTTGGCGATTTCTTTTGGTTACCTAGCTGTTGATTAATATTACTTTAAAGACTTCATATCCTACCCATAACCAGTTGGAGAGGAAAATTATTTTTATTAAAAGAAATCAGTACGATTTGAAAAGCCAAAGTAGTAATTAATTTTTTTTTAAAAAGGCCTCGAGTGAGACACTTCAACCTGTAAATTCATATTTCATTCAACGAATAAATTGTAAACAGTGAAAAACTACTGCTAACACTTTTCCGACATTTTGAAGTTTTTTGTATCGCATCTACCCCTCCCCCCTGAAACTTCATCTCCCCCACCCATTAAACACCGAACCGAATTTGATAATTAATAAATTGTGCTCACAGTCTACTAATAGGCTACACGACAAGTAAAACAATTCCCCGATGTTTTAAAAATAGATATTTTTGTTTTCCCAGTATGACGTCAATATGCATATGAAGAAAAAAAAACACCGTAGACCTAGGCCTAGTTCTTGAACGCATGCGGGAAATACAAAGCCACTCCTGCATTCTCTATGTAGCTGTTTAGTTGGACATACTGTTTTCAACAGTTACTGATTTTGGTTTCACAAAAAAAAAACAACAACTAAGAATGCAGATGAAAATATTTGCCTTTTTTGTTGCCTTTTCCTCCGGTATGTATTTTTTAAATTAAATATTAAAATTATAAGCTGAGCAATTCTGCCAGAAACTAATTTATAAAGGTTTATTTATAGTTTTACTTTGTCGTTTAGCTAAAATATTTTTGTGCGTGTTTCAAACTTATCGATTACACTCCCTTACTGCTTATTGACTTTTGTTATTTAATATCTTTGCATTATCACCGCTGTCAGAAATTAAATGCCCCTTAATAACGTAACTAATTTAATTTTCCAGGGTCTCTAGCCTAAGTTTCTTTCAGGCCTCTTTTTTTTGGGGGGGGGGGGGGGGAATTGGAATTTTTTTTAGTAATAACTGGAATTTAATTCCCCACGAGCAGTTTCTTCCAGGCATCTCTTCGAGGGGGCTCCGCCCCCCCCCCCCGAACGAAATGGAATTTATATAGAAAATATATACTTTTAATAGTGTCCGCTCCCCCCCCCCCCCCCCGAAAATTTCAAGTGCCCCCCCCCCCCCCCGGAGAAAAAAAGTCTGGAAGAAACACTGCCCACGAGTAGCCCTACTGAGTACGAGTGTATCTTTCAGATACATTTCTTCTTGGGGGGGGGGGCATGGAAGGCGGTCTTGAAATTTCGGGGGAGGGGTGTCGGAGTACATATTTTGTGTATACATTATATTTCGTTCCGACGGATTGGGTGACTGAAGATATGCCTGAAACTGCTGAGTACTGCTGTGTCAATGTATAAGTTAGACTAGACTATATGCAAGTTAATTCAATTTTTTGTCGAGACTTTTCGGTTTAGCAACCAAGAGCTTTACCGACTCGACCACGCCGACCCCCTATCCAGTTGTATCATTGAGTTATGTCACCCCACCCCATATCAACACATTTGAATCCCCGGTTTGGTATCACCCGTCTCCTCTACTATTTTATTATTTTAACTGGATTAAATATTATTATGACAGTAAATTTTACGAACTTTCGATTTAGTGTAGTCGAGCACGGGCTGCGTGCCTTTGGTACCAAAATACCTATGTACTTATTTCAATCACTGGAAAATTAAATGGATAGCTTTAGCACTCTCATTCTTTTATTCTAATACAGTGACTCCAAACGTGGCCATTTCCCTATCCTGAATCCTAACCAGTGGTTTTTTTTTTTAGAGATTACTCCCCCCCCCCCCCCCCCCCACACACGGACGAAACAGAAAAATAAATGGCTATACACTTAAGATACGGTAAACATAAAAGTACCCATTCCTGTGTATCCTTCAAGGTATGTGGGCGTTTGATATGACCCTCGAAGACTTCCAGAACTCCGTCTGTCCGTCCGGCACCCTGAAGTGTGAGTTTGACGGCAGCTGCTGTAACGCTGAGAGTCAGTTCTGTGACCCGCTTGTACGAACATGCAACGACGCCTTCCCCAAAGACGCGGACAAACTCCAGACTTGCTGCAGGGAGGCGGGGAACGCATCGACCAGTTCGAGGCTGATTGACGTCTGCTACTTCAAATTTGGAAAAGATTTTCTCCACGACAAATGTGCCGGCACTTTAGGTGTGTATAATATTTGGCAATTTTAGCCCTGTTTTGGGTGTGTAGCTATCCTATTGTTTGTTGTTAAAATTATTCTTCAAATAATACGAAAGCTAATAATATTTTTACCTAAATAATATTTGCCCTAATTTTAAATGTTAGCGAATTAAAGTATATTTATTAGTTTGTTTCATATTTTATGATCCCATTTTATGTTTTAGCTAATTTTCCCATTTGATTTGTATGGTTTAAATATATAGATAATTGAGATAAATGAAATTCAACGGATTATTTCGTTTTATTTCCATAGACGAGAGCTCTGACAGATTGCTGTTCATTCTGACTGTCGTGTTTGCCAGTACTGCTTTCGTCTTGACTGTTTATTCGATTGTAGTGACAATAAAACTAATAAAGTCCCAGCGTCGCAGTACAAAGCGATGCCAAGGAGACGCCGAAAAGCCACACAAAGGTAAATTTAGTTATTTCAATAGAATTTAATTAGTTTGAAGCGTAACCCATAGTAACCAAATGGAAACGAGCCAGTCAGCGTATCGATGCGTAAAACACGAAGTCTAATGAATATTGCGACTGATAAAACACGAAGTCTAATGAATATTGCGACAGATGTAGATACTAACACATACTTTTAAGAGACGTCCATAAACGTCACACAGAAATGAAGGGTAGGACATCTATGAATGTGTGACTCGAGGACGGGGGGGAGGGGGGGTAATTTATCTTGTTTTTTTCTTTTAGAAGACATTACAGATGGAAAAAAAAAACGTGCTAATAATAATTAGTTATGGTTATTGTTATTTAATATGAGTGGACATGGTGGGGGGGGGGGGAGAGGGGGTACGTGCGGGACGTGAGCAGGCTCGAGTAATTGGGGGGGGGGGGTGACTTTTTGTGACGATTTTAGACGATGCGAGGAGCGCATGCGTTTATATGGTGGGTGGGGGAAGGATCGACCTTTACAAAGCATGGTGCTATTTATGTGTACTTTTTTTTATAGCTAGATAATTTTTTTTTCCTTTGTTTTATTTTCTCTGACCAGCGGACGAATACGACCTGAATAGACAGTTAGCACCCTTGATGGGGGCAAACGGGTCCAACCCACACGCTGGTTCAGCAGAGAGAACAAATCGTCCCGACGACATTTCCCTGAATTTGACATCAAGAGCTAGAGCTAGTGCCGCCAATGTCAGTGATTCCAGCGGCGTGGAAGCAGAAGTGAACAGACTGGCCTCTCCTGTTGAAGAGGGCTGCATCCATCAACCGATGGTGTCTTTGGCGGGGGCGACAAATTTTCCAGTCACCAACGTCAACGAAACGTCAGAAGTTGTCACCAGCGGTTGTCAGTACACACCAACAACTGAAACTAAAAGAGTTTAATTATGCATGGTTGACGGTATTGTGGGCTTGTTTTTTTTTTTTATTTAAATGTCACCGGGGAGGTCTTTAAAAACGGTTTGTTTCCTTCTTAAAAACGTGTCCGCAGCAGTTCAGGACTGTATGACGGCGACGACTTAGGTAAACACAAATAGTTAAATTAATGTGGTGACTATATTAAATTAATACTTGATTATGACCACAGTACAACTCAGATACCAATACGATAATGACCAGTTTACGATAGTGTACTGATGTTATGTTGACATTCAATGACACTATAATCACAGCTATTTCGCTGACGTCACCAAAAAAAGGTCACGGTTAGACCGTTGTTCCAATGACCTATCAAGTTGTGAAGTCACCCTACACCAGATGTGTGAGGGGAGGGTGGGGGATGGTCGTACAAGAACAAATGTCAATAACGACAAAGGCTTACAGTCATAAGTGCAACATGGACAAAACGCCGACATGGACAGGGGTCGAAAGACTATAGGCCGAATGTCGTAATGCCGACATTGACAGGGGTCGAAAGACTAAAGGCCGAATGTCGTAATGCCGACATTGACAGGGGTCGAAAGACTAAAGGCCGAATGTCGTAATGCCGACATTGACAGGGGTCGAAAGACTAAAGGCCGAATGTCGTAATGCCGACATTGACAGGGGTCGAAAGACTAAAGGCCGAATGTCGTAATGCCGACATTGACAGGGGTCGAAAGACTAAAGGCCGAATGTCGTAATGCCGACATTGACAGGGGTCGAAAGACTAAAGGCCGAATGTCGTAATGCCGACATTGACAGGGGTCGAAAGACTAAAGGCCGAATGTCGTAATGCCGACATTGACAGGGGTCGAAAGACTAAAGGCCGAATGTCGTAATGCCGACATTGACAGGGGTCGAAAGACTAAAGGCCGAATGTCGTAATGCCGACATTGACAGGGGTCGAAAGACTAAAGGCCGAATGTCGTAATGCCGACATTGACAGGGGTCGAAAGACTAAAGGCCGAATGTCGTAATGCCGACATTGACAGGGGTCGAAAGACTAAAGGCCGAATGTCGTAATGCCGACATTGACAGGGGTCGAAAGACTAAAGGCCGAATGTCGTAATGCCGACATGGACAGGGGTCGAAAGACTAAAGGCCGAATGTCGTAATGCCGACATCGACAGGGGTCGAAAGACTAAAGGCCGAATGTCGTAATGCCGACATGGACAGGGGTCGAAAGACTAAAGGCCGAATGTCGTAATGCCGACATGGACAGGGGTCGAAAGACTAAAGGCCGAATGTCGTAATGCCGACATCGACAGGGGTCGAAAGACTAAAGGCCGAATGTCGTAATGCCGACATGGACAGGGGTTGAAAGACTAAAGGCCGAATGTCGTAATGCCGACATGGGCAGGGGTCGAAAGACTAAAGGCCGAATGTCGTAATGCCGACATCGACAGGGGTCGAAAGACTAAAGGCCGAATGTCGTAATGCCGACATCGACAGAGGTCGAAAGACTAAAGGCCGAATGTCGTAATGCCGACATGGGCAGGGGTTGAAAAACTAAAGGCCGAATGTCGTAATGCCGACAAAAAGTCGAAATTCAAACGTAGTGCTCCTAAAGCCATACGAAACTCTGATATATACCAGCCGACTTTCGCTCAAGTCATTCTTACACTATATTTCATTAATGATTAAACAAACCATTTAATTTTTAAATATTACGAGGATGCCTTTCATTGAGCTGTATACATCGTAGACATTATCAATTGTCAGTTATTTGATTATAGAAAAACCTGTTTCAATGCAGAAGAGTATTAGAGAAAAGAATCAGAGATGTATATCTCCATATTTGTATTGTTAACCAGTGTTTTGGTTATCATCCTTTCTTACACCAGAGTGAAAGTTAGAGTATAAAAATGAATGAACACCTGTGTGTAAAGTAAAAAATGCGGGCGATTTAGTCGTTGTGTAAATATATCAATGAACAATTAAAGCTTATATCTATAAATATGTACATGCTTATGTTAAAAAACCTGTAGTATTTATTCTTATTTTAGTTTATACACACACGTAATTTTAATTAATTTAAATTTGTTCTTCTTGGTTCAACTAGCGGGCTAGGTCTGATCACAAAAGACATTTTTGTTAATTAGTGTTTAGATAATTAGATACGTTTTGTACTATGTATATATTCATATGTAAGTACATTCATTAAATAAAAAGATTTAATTTAGATATATTTGTTTTTTTTTGTTATTCTTTAAAATCTGCACGCATAAATATGTCATAGTAAATTAAAACCCACCACAATACCCCATATAACACAGACCCTCATATTAATTTGTCTAGGAACCCCCATCCCCTTCCAACACACACAAACCACACTAACCACAACACAATTGTGTACAACAACAATTTGAGAAAAACAACATTTGAATACTAGCTCTGCATGTTACAAACTCATCACCAACAAGTGAAGAGAATGAGTATCAAGTCATATTCATGGATCGAACCAGGCCTAAGTTTAAAGATAAAATATAAATTTAGGCAATTCAAAGGAAGTGTTTTATATTCTTGCTCTAAACAAATACGGCGCGGCGTAGTCGGGTGGTAAGGTATTTGACTTGCAAACACGAAAGACTCCAGTTCGAATCCCGGTTTCATGTAATGATGCAAGTCTAAGCATATAATTACAAGAAGCATATTATTACAAGTTAAGGAACGGAGTAAGGCTAGTATTGTTTAGATAGCGTTGGTCAAGCCGTTATTACTGTTCAAATAATTAGGAACCAATCAGTATTGAGATGATCAGTCTCGGAGAGATGAACGATGAGAGAGCGTAGGTTACAGTTGAGGAGTAGATTGTAGTAGTAGGAGAAATTTATAGTCGGTCGGTTAGATAGAAGTAGTAAAGTAGGTTAGTAGATGGCAGTACAATTATCATTAGGCGCTAGTTGATAGGTGTGCATAAGGAAAATTAAATGATATTTGAACTTGGGAATGTGTCAGTTTACATCGGAGGAACTAAGAGAAGGGTCTTGATCCACTAATATACAAACAGTTTATACACATTTTAAGGTTAAGCCATTACAAATAAACATAAACTGCGCAGTTAAACTATTGCATCATTATCGTGCCAGCGAATACAGTTATAAAGACACGTAAACGGAGAAAATCCGATTACGTGTAAGAGTTATCTCGCTTACTTAGGTCTCCTGACAATGAGTCAGCGTTTATCTGATGTTGTGAAATGCATTTTTTCATTCAGGACCTCATGTTCTCTACAGGGCTGCTGTATATATTTTGCTAGCTGCAGTCGAATCTTTCTAGAAAAATCGGAACGAATGAATTTGATTTTACGACAGAGGGCTAAATCTACTCTTTATGACTAGTCTAGCTATCAGAAGAAATTTGCCCCCACCCCTCCCCCACTTTTAGAATTACTTCCGTAATCACGTCAATATCCCCCCCCCCCCCCTTAGATAGCTCGATCTAGAATCTACTTTCTCTAAAAAAAATCTTGTAAAAATATTTTTTTCCCAAATATTTGAACATTTTAACAGAGAAACAATATTTGCTTTAAAATTAATACATGACTGTATAAACTTAGTCCTTGGTACAAGTCCGTTAATAAAAATGTTAGGCTGTGGACAGTAAGTGAATAGTATCCTCACACTTGTTATTGCGTTAAAAATTACATATTAAATTAGCTTTGTTTGGAAACACTTGTAAATATTAGACAGGAGAAATTGTTATTTTTAGCTAGAGATGTACACGCAATTGGAGCTAGGCTATGACGTCGACATCTTAAGGAGTGGCGCACTTTTCAACTACCTTTTGTTAAATTTAATGATATGCATGCACGGGGGGGGGGGGGGTGGATAACAGTGAGACATAAACACCTTAATAGGATATTCCTCGTGTCAAATTGTCGTGGCATTGGTTCAGATTAGTTCACATTACTTGTCGTCCATTTCACTCGTTTCTTATCATCACTTGATGTGGCAGTTCACAACGGGCTAGTCTAGTCGAGGTGTGCTCCGTCTAAGGATTGATAGCAAACATGGCGTGGCGATTAAATGTTATTTTAATGGGGTTTTGGCTTTTTCTAACGACCAAGACAGGTACGTCGCTTAGTATTACTAACAACTTATTAGGATTTTCTATTTAAATTGTCTTCTACGTGTATTTTCATTGTAGACCATAGTTATAAATTTTAGAATATTTTCAGTGTAGCCCATAGTTATACATTTTAGTGTATTCCTGTTGGGGCCAAGACAACCCTCGGCCCAGACGTTGAAATAACGATTGTGTTTATGATTATGATAAATATAACATGTAATATAATCTGTGACTTGTACCATATTTGTATTATATCTATGGTGTTTCTGAAGGTGGTGTGAGTGATGGGGCGAGGGGTGGGGGAGGGGGGGTGGGGTGCCGGAGGTTTAATAGACGACACCCGTTATTGTAAAGTAAAGTTGCCCTTAAAACCTGACGTGGCAAGCGAAGTGAATTTACCTGTTTCATTGACCTCGGAATTTGAAGGAAACCATTATTATAAGCAGTGTAATAATTTAAATGTGAGTTCATTAGAGATGTCGCATTAGCAGGGGTGTAGTGACCACCTCCCGGCGCCCGGGCACAAACTTGCAATTTGGCGCCCCCCATATATTTTTTTATATTTATAATTCAAAATAGCAGCTAAAACGAGCTTATTTTGGAGCCCCTAGAATCGGTACCCGGGGACATGTCCCCCCCCCCCCCGCCCCCGCCCCGCGTCTCTACGCCTCTGCGCATTAGTTCCCACTTATCTTTATATCGATGAAGTGTTAATGAATTAACATTTTCCTAGATTTTGTGCACATATTATACAAAACGAAGGGGTATGAGGGTGGTTTATTTCTTTAGTATATAACGGCAGTGGCGTAGCGAGGTCGGGTGTCACCCGGTGCGGCTCTTAATGGTGTCACCCCCCAGAGGCGTAGCGATCCTTCCCGGGGACAAACTTTCAAGTTTTCGATTAGCACCCCCCCCCCCCTCAAACTTTCGATTTGCACCCCCCTATAGTTTTTTCTATATATTTTTCTATTTTTTGCCCCCCTCTCAGAAGAAAGTCTACCGCCCCCCTCCCCCCCCCGAACGAAATGGAATTTATATAGAAAATATATACTTTTACAAGTGTCCGCCCCCCCCCCACCCCACCGGAGAAAAATCTCGAAGAAGCACTGTTTAGACTCTTTTTCCTACAAAATTTTAGAATTGCCTATTGTTTCTAATGTGATGAATCATGTTGTTAAAATTAGGGAAGAAAAATATTTAATTAATTAAATTTAATCAATTAATAAATTAATTAATGTAATAAAAAACGATGCTGAAGTTAGTTATTGATTTTAAAATAAATGTTATAAATCATAAATGTGAAGCTGGAGATTGAAAATGCCCCAGTAAAAAAAAAACCCAAATATTTTATGCACGATCTTTTATTTCTAATAGTCATTTTCCCACCCTCCCTGTCCCCAGAGTTTCGGCGGAGCCCCCCCCCCCCCCCCCCCCCCCGCGAAGAAAGTCTACCGCCCCCCGCCCCCGAACGGGATGGATTTTATATAGTAAACACACTTTTACTAGTGTCCGCACCCCGTCCCCGAAAATTTCAAGTCTGGAAGAAACACTGCCTGCCCCTCTCCCCTTCTCCTGAAACTTTAAGTAACTCAAAATTAATTTTATAATCACGTTTTCAGGCGTACTCTGCAATTCCATGACGTTACCAGACTTGCAAAGTACAGTCTGCCCACCTAAAACTTACGTCTGCGTGTTCGACGGAAGTTGTTGCAGCGCCGAAACCCAGTTCTGTGACCGGCAGATTCAAACCTGCAATGACGTGTTTCCCGCAGGCGCAGATACTCTACAGCTCTGCTGCGCCGAGGTTCTAAATACATCATCCACTGAAGGACGACTTAACGCTTGTCATTTTATATACGGGATGTCATTGGTGGACCAATGCAGGGGTAGGTCAATATTTAAATGAAGTGAATTGAAAGCAATATTTGTATTTTTAATCACGATTTAAAAAGCTAAACTGGCCCATTACATCATCATTATCAGAGTATGATCTCTCAACGCTTATATATATATATATATATATATATATATATATATATATATATATATATATATAAAATTTATTTTAAAAGGTCTAGTAAATCTGAGATGTTTTGCTAATTCAACCTCTTTTGTCTTCAGGCAAGAAAGAAAATTCCTGTGTGTCAAGCGACATCTCGCCCATATTGATAGCTGTGTGTGTAGTGGCAGCCGTCTTTTTTTGCCTAATCATAGCGTTAGTAGTTGGTTGTCTGTCATTTAGAAGGAAAGCCAATCGGAGAAGGAATAATCTTGTGGAAGAGGGAAAACACCCCATCATGGCTAAAGGTAAATTATCAAAATACATTTTATGATTATAAAGATAATTGGGATTATATGAAAACAGCGGGGGGTTGCAGTTTGGTTAGGTAATATATGTTATATTTGGCTTTTAGGTAGTCCATAAATGACGTCACATTCTTATGGTGGATGGGGGGGGGGTGGGTGGAGAGGGATTCGTAATTTTGTGACGATGTGTGATGAGGGGAGGGGGGGGGGGGGTCAGATTGTTTGAAGTCACGCTTTTGCATTTTAACCCAAAAAGTAATGTTAAAAACTGTATTTTAGCCGTTATTTCGCATTTTTGAAAACTATTTTTGTTAATTTTAATAGAAGTTGATTGATATCTTGACCGAGCTTACTGCGAAAACATTTTTCTATCAAATTAAAAATATTAAATTGTCATGGAGAGGGGTGACGTCAGTAATTTATAAGATGTAGGGGGGCGGCTAGATTTGTTGTATAATATGTGCGAGTGTGGTTACGGTCTATGAAAATGTTATATAATGATACATGCGTGAAGTGTTGAGCCAAAATAACATAACGCAAACTTCTGTCTACGATAGTACCGTATGAGGGGGTGGACAATGAAGAAGACGTGACTGCCCAAATCATCAAGGACGCTAACTCACTAGGCGGCAGCACACGTTCAGGAGAAAGTAACTCCAGCGATGATGTTTCTCTGGCCAGCAGTTCCGGCACTGAGAGTCAGGTAGAAGACAGTTCCCAGCAGTTTCCTCGGATCATCAATGCGTCCAACAACAATGAAAGTTCTGCTCTTGTAATAACGGGGAAACCTTATACAAACCCTCTTACGTAGAGACTTCGCAAGTAGATCTACATACTTGCAAAGTACATACTACATTTGTTGGATAGTAGAACATACGACTGCTAACCCGAGTTCGAATCCCGGGTTCGTCCCAGTCAAATGTCACTGAGTCCACCCAGCTCTGATGGGTACCTGACTCACGTTAGGGAAAGTAAAGGCAGCTGGGCATAGTGCTGACCACACTATCCCTTCATATGCCGAGTTCACTAAAACAGATGAACTCTAGTTCACCTGCCCCGGCCGACCGTCAGTGTACTCGAAGGGTACTTTACTTTTTTTAAAATTATTCATAACAATGACGACAGTCCGAATTCCGTATATTTTATTAATCGTGATAATGACGATGGTCTGAACTCCATAATAATCTCTATTCAATTATTCGTGATAATTCCATAATAATCTCTATTTAATAATTTGTGTTAATTCTATTAAAGTCTCTATTTAATTATTCGTGATAATTCCATAATATTCTCTATTTAATCATTCGTGATAATTCCATAATAGTCTCTAGACGTCTATATAATTATTCGTATTAATGACGTCTTTCATAAAACCAATACACAACAAAGTCGACATTAAGAATAGATCCGATGCCAAAACGACGTCAAAATATGGTATTATGTCTAAATATTTTTTTACCAAAATAAAATTGTACATATTTTTTTCTATGAAAGTGTTTAGACATTGTATTTGTGTTAATGTATAAGATATGTTTAGACTAGAAACGTGTTGCCCACTTATCGATCTGTTCTGGTCTTTTGGCTGTCAGTCAGCCCCTTTTTGTAGACATGTATCGGATTTTTGAGATGGATGTTCCATGCCATGTAACCATTGAACACGGAAACTTGTGTAATGGTTTCCCGAGTTCCTTTTATTCTTATGTTGTTTTTTTTTTTAATTTACATTTTTATTCTTTCTTACTACAGCTCATGTAGCTTTTTTTTTTCTCTAAGCACCACTGTGTGTTAGTTACTGTTGAACAATTTTTTTTCTCTAAGCACCAATGTGTGTTAGTTACTGTTAAACAATCACTGCTACAGTAGAAGGTTTTTTTATTTTTTTTATTTATTTTTTTTTTTATTTTACAAAACCATTAATCTATCAGTATCAAGGTACCAAAAAACTATATTGTTTTTTTTTCTGTCGGATTTTGGGTCTCCATTAAAAGGCCTGGTGTAAATGTAAAAAGAATAATTATTTCACTGGAAGTTGATTGTTTTAATAAATATTTAAACTGGAAGCTGTTTGTTTTGAAATTGTATTTAACATTTTTGTTTCCAACACACGGCACAAAGGCCTAAATAGGATTAAGGAGAAAAAAACCCAATGAAATACACTTAAAAAATGCAAACTAGCCCACACGCTATCAATGCACAAATAACAAAGTTGTTAACAAAAAAAAAGCATAGTGTGTTGGAGACCATTTTACCGGCGTTGATGTGATTATTAATATAAACAAAAACAAAATCGTTAAAGTTAAACTTTACTGAAAGAAATTAAATTGACGTCACACATTGTCACCAAAAGCCAGCTCCACCCTCCTCCCCCCACACACACAACCTTAAAAAAATGTTTCGATTAAAAATAATTCTGTAAACACGTCAAAGAATTATGAGAAAATATTGGATAATCCCGATTAATAACAAGGTTATTCCCCTGTGTTCTTTTTTTAACCATTTCCAGAGTATTCCATTGACCCACCCTTGTGGCGTGACGATGATTCAGCCTTTTCATGCCGCCCACACTTTCTTTCTTAAACTGCCTAGATCTAGTTCCAACCAAACCAATACATTATACAACATAACACCTAGTAGACATTTATCATTCAAGTATATAGATCTGTGTATGTACATATAGCAATAACTCCATATTCAATAACATAAATAAGTGCTGCCTTACTCACTACTATTATTATCGGATCATATCTATCACCCCCTACCCTTACCAATCGCTGCACCATCGTCTATCTTAAGTTTACTATTCCGTAGACCTCATAAACATTTTAAACAACACAGCTCAGTTATGTCAAGTAGTGGTTTTTAAAATATTTAAATAGCGATTGATCTTTTTTGTCTCATCTCTAATTATGATCTAATGAAATTATTCGGTTAATTACTGACATCACAACTCTTACAACTGAGTAAGTTGTATCTACTTAAAAATTGCATGATATTTTTATTGTGGTGACTGACATGCAATATGCAGCGGAAATCTCCGATTACGTAGACCTGAAAGGTGTAAAATTAGTGTTATTGTTTGTTTGTTTGTGTCTATACGTGAAAGTTTGGCAGGACTCTCCCTCAGGTAAAACCATTACGTGGCGTGTTCCTTTATTTAGATCTAGATCTATGTCTACGTCTTATCACGAGCTTATCACGAGCTCATAATTGTTACCGTTAGCTGAATGAATAAGACGTGCTTTGATAATAAATTTTAATTTTTAAAAAATGGCAGCTTTGAATTTTTTTACTTCGCTTGTTTTTACAGTCATTGTAGGTAAGTGATTTTACAGTCTCGTTTTTTTTTTTAAATTATATAAATGTACACATAGGTACTGAACTCTGATCAAACACGGCATATCACTAAAAAAATGCCATGTTAAACAGAACAAAAAGGCGACATTTTCTTTTATTTAAATAAGTATGTGTATATGTGTGTGTGTGTGTTTTAGGGGGGGGGGGGTGTTCTCTCAGAGGCGTAGCGACCCTTCCCGGCGCCCGGGGACAAACTTTCGATTTGCACCCCCCCCTCAAACTTTCGATTTGCACCCCCTTCGAACTTTTGATTTTTTTTCAAACCCATTTTGGCGCCCCCCCCCCCCTAAGGTCGGCGCCCGGGGACATATGTCGTCCCCCCCGTCGTCCCCCCTCGCTACGCCTCTGTGTTCTCTCCCTGGGCTCTACATTGATGGATACAAATCTGATAAGTGAGACAGATGTAATTGGATGGCGTAGTAGCTTGAGGTGGGGGGAATTGGAGCCATCATAGTTTCCTTTTGTGCCCAAGACGCATTGGGCCGCCACAGAAAGCTCTCTCTACTTTTGTCGGTCTCCGGCAATTTTCCAACCTTCACGCATCGTCACGAAAACCCAGAACCCATCTCTACCCCCAAAAATGACGTCACACACCAGCCTACCACCCCCACCCCCATGATTCATCCCTTAATCTGGAAGTATTAAAAACTGATATTTATAATAAAATGGGAGCCTTTTTTAAAGGGGAGAATCATACAAAATTACGCCATTACACAAGGCCCATTACGAAAAACGATCCACTTAAATACAAAACTTACAGCATGTCCATTTAAAAAAATAAACTATGACCTCCACATTTTTAAGCTGGACTCGCCATGCCAATGACGCTGGACGATTTACAAAGCACGCACTGCCCAGTAGGGACCACCCTCTGCGTGTTTGACGGAAGCTGCTGCCGTTCCGATAGCCAGTTCTGCGACCAGCAGATCCGAACCTGTAATAACGTGTTTCCGGCGGGCGCAGACCCGCTCCGGCTCTGCTGCGACGCAGCTCTGGGCCAAAATATCACCAGTCAAGAAAGACTGAATTCCTGCTATTTTAGATATGGAATGACGTCACTTCTCGACAGATGCTCGGGTGAGTCTTGTGTTAATTTGTACCATGTGACACAGCGTAGTCCCTAACGTAAAGTTGAAAGGTCAGGAGGCAAGTAAACGTATAAGTTAGGAATAGCCAGGCGCCCCCACCCCCCCCCCACACACAAACACACACATAAGCATACTTACACAGACAGACAGACAGACAGACAGACAGACAGACAGACAGACAGACAGACAGACAGACAGACAGACAGACAGACAGACAGACAGACAGACAGACAGACAGACAGACAGACAGACAGACAGACAGACAGACAGACAGACAGACAGACAGACAGACAGACAGACAGACAGACAGACAGACAGACAGACAGACATATATATATATATATATATATATATATATATATATATATATATATATATATATATATATATATATATATGTATATAGGCCTACACTCCATTTTGTAGGTTGCTTATTAATATTGTTTTGAGGACTTTTTTTAAGTCAAGTGAACCATTTGTATGTAACATTTTGTTTGCTATTTTATTTAACAGACCCGAGAGAAGCGGCTTATGACGTGTATGACATCCTGATGATAGTCTTGATAGTACTATCGGTTGGCTTGAATATTATTTTTCTGATCTGCTGTCTAAAGATAAGGAAATGCCCACGTCCGAGATCTGAAGAAAAATACAAAAACGGTATCAAGCCAAAAGGTAAACAGGTTTATATGGCTGGGTAACTTGATTATAAAATAAAAGCTAATATAAAGCTAATAAATTACCTTGAGCTAACAAGTATAGTTAATTGGTATGTTATTTGGGGTCGGCGTGGTCGAGTCGGTAAAGCTCGTGGTTGCTAAACCGAAAGGTTCGAACCCTCGGACAGATGAGGCTCGTTAGCTGGGGACAGCCTTCTATGAGAGACAACTCCAAAATCAAACAACTGCTGTCTTGTAGTTTGCTCTTGGTTGGACAAGATGGCGCATAACCAGTTGACACTAAAATTAAGAACGAAGAAGAAGAAGTATGTCATTAGAATTAATTTCACACTAGTTTTTAAAATAGAAGTATTTTAATGTAAATTATGTCAGATGTCTAGCTAGGGGGAGGGTGGGTAAGAAATAAAATAAAATTTCTCATTCCGAGCTGCATGACTAAAAAATACACAGTTAAAGTTTTTAAAAAATAAATTAACTACTACTTGGCTTTCCAGACGGATTAAACCGTTTTCTACATCCATTGTGTCCAGAGTTTCTTCCAGGCATCTCTTGGGGTGGGGGGGGGGGGGGGGGGGGGGCTTCTACCGCCCCCCCCCCGAACGAAATGAAATTTATATAATTTATTTAGAAAATATATACTTTTAACAGTGTCCTGCCCCCCCCCCGAAGAAAGTCTACCGCGCCCCCCTTCCGAAAATTTTAAGTGCCCCCCCCCCCCCGGGAGAAAAAAAGTCTGGAAAAAACATTGATTGTGTCATCAAACTATAATCTGTTAAAAGACAGTGACTGGTAAAACCAACCTTCAAAAAAAAAAGTGAGGTGGTGCTTTTTCGCCAACTTAAACAACTTAACAACTTTTTTTTTAAATTGGGGAACGGGGAGGGGGGGGGGGTTGCTCGATCTGTTCTGTCCAGGCGCAGGAATGAGTGGCTACGCCTCTAAATGATGTGTAATTTCAACTAAGCTGAGCCTTAAAGATAAAAAAGTAATTATTGCTCCTATACATAAGACGAAATGGCGCATACATTTAAACCATCCAAATATATGGAACTGTACTAAAAATGTATATCTGCGGAAAGACGGATTCAAAGACGAGTAAGACTAAAATAAGTATTGACCACACACTTCCTCCTCCCAACCGCTCCTACACCCTGTATAAATTAATTGTTAACATAATTAATAGTATTTATGTATACTCTCTTTTACATAACAATAGAGTATATAACTTTTGTCCCGATTGAAGAAGGTGCTTACGGCAAACAGACTGAGACTGCCGACCTCATGGGGTCAAGTTCTGGAACTCTCGACCAGAGTGGGGAAGAGGCCAGGACAGCCGCTGCCGGAGGTGTCTTCCCAACCACCAACGACAATGATGACGTCTACGAAATCGTACCCACTGGTGCATCCTACAAGCACCAAAGTGTAGCACAGACGCAAGAAATCGCTTGACATAATGAAGGGCTTTAGATCATTTTTGGGGCTTGGTGAATAGAGTACTTTGGCTACAAAAGATAGATAAAACTCATTTGAACAGGGCCGTCCATAAGTGATATCGCAATAGGGCTGGTAAGTAGGTCACCAACCAGTTATATGGCTCATGCAGGTTTTATTGAGCCGTAGAACTTGTTGGTGACCTACTTACCAGCCCTATTACAACCGATTTATTCTCCCCATTCCACATAGGTACACGTTACCACAAAGATAATACTACTCCCCCTCCTCACCCTCTCTCAACACGAAATGACGTTACCAAATTTTGCCCAAGATTCAAATACCCAAAACCAACAAAAAGTCAAGTTATTTTATTATAGTGATTAAAATTTTCGCAGGCTGCCCGCTGGGTTTTAAATCAATATTTTTTAAGCGAGAGACGATCGGCTTTAAAATAATAAGATGTAGGTTTGATAGTCCCAAATATCCGCCCCCCCCCCCCCCATAGGAGTGTGATGCCATTTATGGACGACCCCTTCACTGAAAATTGTAACTTTACCACTCATTTGTATCATTATAAAAAATGAACACCAGAGAATTTTATAAAAACCTGACAAATGAATTTCGACCTTTCGCACTCGTCTCATTGAACATAGAAACAAGTTTTTAAAACCCCAACCTCATTCGAATTTTAGCTGAGATAAGATCAGTAGATTCGCCTGCTACTTCTTATTTCAAGCTAATTCGAGTTTTGTTGGGTTTTTTAAAAAAAATGTTTCCATTGTTCCTTCTGACGAAAACGAAAGGTCGAATCGTCATTTTTTTCAATTTGTTTCTTTTTGGGGTTTTATGAGATAGTGTGATGCCATTTATGGACGACCCCCTCACTGAAAATTGCAACTTTACCACTCATTTGGATCATTATTAAAAAAATGAACAGCAGAGAATTTTATAAAAACCTGACAAATGAATTTCGACCTTTCGCACTCGTCTCATTGAACATAGAAACAAGTTTTTTTAAAACCTCAACCTCATTCGAATTTTAGCTTAGATAAGATCAGTAGATTCTCTTGCTACTTCTTCTCATTTCAAGCTAATTCGAGTTGTGTTTTTTTTTTAAAAAAAATGTTTCTATAGTTCCTTCTGACGAAAACGAAAGGTCGAATCGTCATTTTTTTCAATTTATTTCTTTTTGGGGTTTTATGAGATACTTTGTTCATAAATTTCGACATTGCCTAAAACTCAATGCATAAAATCGGTCTACGTAACAATGACAACTTTCAAATTTTTCAATTTTGACATTGATCAATAGGCTAACGTAGTAAAAGACGTATTCGAGAGTTAAGGGGGTAGGCTCCGGTAAAAGAACAAAACACTTTTTAAATACTAGAGAACAATTTTTTCTCTACGGTTTTTTTTTAAAGGTACATCCGCATATATTTCCATTAAAAAACTGGTGGGAAAATTTGGTAACCAGGACAAATGCGGCCATCTTGACAAATTGACTTATTCGTAGGATTTCCACCATTCATAAAGTATTATTTTTTGAACCCAATAAAGAATGAATTCATAATCTTCTACCATATTTTGGAGTACTCAGCTAAAAATTGTAGGTGTAGTTCTTCAAACTAATTTTAAGGGAATTTTGGGGTCTTAAATTTAATGTTGTTTGTTGGGCCCATTCTTTGTTGGTCTCAAAATATAATACTTTATGAATGGTGGAAATCATACGAATACGTTAATTTTTCAAGATGGCCGCCGTTGTCATGGTTACCAAAATTTTCCCGCCAATTTTTAAAAATAGAAACACATGCGGATGTATCTTTAAAAAGCTGTAAAGAAAAAATAGTTTGTTCGCTAGTATTTTTTTTTTTAATTTTTTTTTTTTTGGAGCCTAACCCCTTAAAGTAGAAAGATAAAACCCTCGATACGTCAGGCAATGTATTATCAATGACATATCTACGTTTTCACCATCAGTACCGCAATATTTGAAAAAAAAATCCTTTTTGTTCAACTTCTACATTCTTCTTCTCATGCCATTTTATATCATCTTCCTGTAATTAGACTTCCCAACTGATCAGTACTGATCTCAAGCTAAGCCAATGAAGATATCTCCCCCCCCCCCCCCCTTTTTTTTTTCCATTACATTAATATTGCATGAAGTTTTTTTTTTTTTAAAGAATGTGTTTATGAAGTCTGGTTTTAGTGCACTTTAATAATGTTTTTTCTTTTATTTTTATTGCTTTAGCCCTTAACTTAGTTAACAAAATGCCTTTAAAATGTCTACGTATAATTCAAGTTTACGGATAGGAAAAAGAATTAGAACATTCTTGTATTCTGGTACAAAATTACAGTAAAATTAGTTAAATGAATAAAACAAAAAGTTGTAAAGCTTCAGATTTGTCAAAATGTTTTGTTGTTGTTTTTTTCATTATACTTTTTTAACAAAAATTGAATAAAAAATATCAACGAAACTTCAACAAAATAAACCAAAACGTCAAAAAAAAAAAAAAAACCTACGCAGACTAATCAAACACATAACGAAGATATATGGCCATGCCTTATTTCAATAAAGCGGAACCTGTTCAATGTTAATTATCAAGTACTGGATGCCCACCATTATCAACAAATTAATTTAAGCAAAACTAAGTAATATTATTATTAACTTGTATAAAGAGATACACACCAGCACTAGCTTTGCTTGTATGGAAAAATCGGAGACAAGCGGGGCGTATATTTTCTACTTAAATTTGGTATTTTTTCCTTGTTGGTCTAGGCGAGTTGCCTGTTCGTAGCACATACAGACACAATTTATGTTATCCTAATAACCGACGGGTCTGATTGTTTCAAGATTGCAGGATCTCAGTGGTGTCAACATGATCTCAGTGGTGTCACCATGATCTCAGTGGTGTCACTATGATCTCAGTTGTGTCACCATGATCTCAGTGGTGTCACCATGATCTCAGTAGTGTCACCATGATCTCAGTGGTGTCACCATGATCTCAGTTGTGTCACCATAATCTCAGTGGTGTCACCATGATCTCAGTGGTGTCATTGTGATCTCAGTGGTGTCGTCATGATCTCAGTGGTGCCATCATGATCTCAGTGGTGTCACTATGATCTCAGTTGTGTCACCATGATTTCGGTGGTGTCACTTTGATCTCAGTGGTGTCATCATAATCTAAGTGGTGTTACTAGGTCGATCGATTGACACCCGGTGTGGTAACTCAGGGTGTCACCCACAGCTCTGCCAATGATGTACTAAAGCTACAGTCGGTTTGGTGTCCCCCCCCCCTCCAGAAGGTGTCACCTTGTGCCTAATGATGTTTGTAACTTCTATTAGCTATTGACCTAACTATCTGAAAAAAAGCTGACTTTCTGATTAAAATTTCCTTTTATTTGTGTCGTCTGGGTGTCAGCCCCTTTGAATGGTGTCAACCTTGCACACCTGCCCCTACCTGCTGTATGATCTTTATGGCATTTCGTAGCATGTCTCTATGAAAACTATCGGCGTTATGCTGTACCCAGATGGGCAGCAAACGAACTAGAAATAGTTACATACAAGCCTTGTCTTTGAAAAATTAAACCTTATACACATACTATAAAAAGAGAAGGGTTTCTTATGGAGGTTGTTTTTTGTGTGTTATTGTTGTTGTTGGTGGTGGTGTCGTTGTTTTTGTGGTTGTAACTCACATAAAAAATTAAATTAAAAACATTACTTGTTCCATAGAAACCCAGCTCAGGGGGAAATATCCTCAAAATTTGCATCCCACTAATTTGAATCAGAGTAGTCGCCTCTTGAAATAATAAAACGAAAAGAAATTGACTTAATTAAACTGTTCGAGGAGTCGTCCATAATACTCATAATACGATAGAGATAGTGGTGATGGTGATGGGAGGGGTTTTGATTTTTGTGGTAATGGATAACGAGGAGTCATGTGACGTCACACTTCTGTATTTTCAAAGTTCATTTTGAAACTGAAATTTAGCAGCTATTTCGTCATTTTAAACTATTTTTTTTGTAGCAACAATAACATTGATCAGTAGCCGATACCTAATGTAGACCTAGCTCAGTAAATATTTAAAAAAATAAATCGCTTTATGGAAAGCAAAAATCGCAATCGAAGAGTGGGAGATTGGGGGTGTAGCAGAGGCGTAGCGACCCTTCCCGGCGCCCGGGGACATACTTTCAATTTGGTGCCCCCCTCGGGAGCAAATTTTCGATTTGCACCCCCCCCCCCTCGAACTTTTCATTTGCACCCCCCCTCAAACTTTCGATTTGCACCCCCCCTCGAACTTTTCATTTGCACCCCCCCCCCCTCAAACTTTCGATTTGCACCCCCCTCGAACTTTTCATTTGCACCCCCCCCTCAAACTTTCAATTTGGCGCCCCCCCTAAGGTCGGCGCCCGGGGACATATGTCCCCCCCCCCGCCCCCCCCCCCCTCGCTACGCCTCTGGGGTGTAGTGACGTCATTTTAAAAGATGCTAGTAGTAGCGATGTTTGAAGAAAGTAAGGGGAGATAATCAAACTCATAAAGAAGGCCAAAACACTTCGTTAAACAGGCTAACTATTCTTTAAATGAAATATTAAACTACATTACATATAGCTAACACCTACAGCAATAAATTCTTATCGTCGAACTTAGATGAGATAATTTATTTTCCTCAAGAAGCTCTCATAATTTTTTTAGCAAAATGTTCACATTAGGGATGAGTGTCTGATTAATTCCACGACTTGTCTACAGCATGAGTTTACATCTTGACTAGCCTAGATCATATATTTTACAAGCAGTATCATTTAAATGAGATAACTGCTTAGACCAATTAATTAGCAGTTAATTAGCAGTCAAATAGTCCTTGAATCTTCAGTGGTGATATGATCGCACCAATGGAGGAATCAGTATTTCTTTCTGGCATTTTTCAAAGATATACAAAAAGATATGCATTTTAAAAAAAAGTCATATTAGAAACTGAATTTTAGCCGTTATTTCGCGTTTTCGAAAACAGTTAAGGGGTCATCCATAAATGACGTCACGCTTTTTTTGGACGATTTTTACCTCCCCCTCCCCTCGGTCACACATCATCACAAAAAGCCAGACCCCCCCCCCCTTCCTAAAATGACGTCACACCTCAGCCTACAATCCCCCCCCCCCCCCTCAAAATTGCAGTTGAATTTTTTTTTTAAACATCGATATTTTTCCAAAATCTTGTCTAAACTCTGTCAAAATAGTGTATTTTAATCAATTCCTATTACAATTTATTAAAATAGTTTTCTAAAACGCAAAATAACGTCTAAAATTCGTTTTCAAACATTGCTTTTTTAAAATGCAAAAGTGTGATGTCGCACCATCTGAACGCCCCCCCCCCTCCCCCTCATCACACACCGTCACAAAATTACGGAACCCCCCTCCCCCTACGAGTGTGACGTCATTTACGGACGACCCCTAATGTAAATTTCAATAGAAATTGATTAGTATACTCTATGTTAACCGAGCTCAGACAATATTTTTGACAAAAAAAAAATCGATGCTTTAAAAAATTAAACTGCAATTTGGGGTGGGGGGTATGTTAAGGTGTGCCGTCATTTTAGGGGGTCTGGCTTTTTGTTACGATGTGTGACGAAGGGGAGGGGAAAATCGTCAAATAAAAAAGCATGACGTTATTTATAGACGACCTCTTTCGCCGCGTTTACACTTGCAATGCTAATTTTATCAGAACATGTATGTATAGGGTTGTGTGTGTGTGTGTGTGTGAGGGGGGGGGGGGCTATTCACTTATTGTGAAGTTTTTGTCCAGACATGTATAGTTTACACGTCGCAAGTGTAAACACGTCTTATATGCACCAGTGCAGGCATTTTAATTCGACATGTTAGTGCGGGCATCTTTTCTATTTAGCTTTGATTATTAAGATCCTACTTACGCCACTGAAGCACAATTCTAAAGGATTTGAATATTTACGCCTATAATATACGCCACGTGTTACTTTAATCACCGTATCTTTTTAAATAGGCCTATAGTTTTCATTATTTTCAGTTGGTTACTTATTTCCACTGTTTAACTGGCATGGATCTAGATCTAGATCTAGTTGCTTTTGTAAGCAAAAATAAGTTGTTTTGCATCCGTGTGTTAGTTTTCCCTAGGTTATAAAAATCACAATTTATTTTAAGAATGTTTCTAAAAATATAAAATAGTATCCAATTAAAATCGTGGAAACTGTCACATGGTCAAGATAGGCCAATCACAAAGCTAAGGGAAATTCCCTAAATATCGAAATGAGTTTCCTTGCTTGTTGTTAATTTCTCTTATGACCGTATTGACAGTATTGTTATTTTTACATATTATTGCACGTCTTAGTTTAAAGAAAATCAATGGTGTCATTCTAAATGGAAAAAGAATAATCCCGAGGTAGATCTATATTTCGCCTAAAATATTAGTAAAATTATAGCCTTCTAACTTCTAGGTAGGCTACAAAAACTAACTAGACTAGATCTAATAAATCTAATCTAGATCTAGATCTAGATTCTAGATCTACCTGAACTTACTGAGGCTACACTGGCTACAGTTACATTATGATTACTTGTCTTACTGAGTAGGCCTAACATTAACTAACTTAAACATAAATTTACTTAACTTTTAATTTAAGGATGAATTTAGTTTATTTAAGTTTATAAATCTAGTTTCTAGATCTAGTTGTAGACAAGATCTAAAGTAGATCTGGACTAGAATACTTCAATAGTAAAGTTGTAGGATAGAGTTTTATTTTTATTTAGTTCTAGATTAAAGATCTAGATCTAGTCTAGCTACTTTATTGTCAGTGGCATTGTCTTAGTTAGACTCTTGCTCTTAGCCTTTACTTTAGATTTTAGATCATAGATTCTAGATCTTAACTAAAAAATAAATCTAGAATAGATCTTAGGAAGTGGCTATTGGAACCCGGGTCCTAATAGCCTCGGCCGCTATTGGGACCCGGGTCCTAATAGCCTCGGCCGCTATTGGGACCCGGCATTAAGTTCGTTAAGCACTTGTACAACCTGTATTAAAATTATACCTTTTATGTTTATTTGATTTTTCTTGTTGATTTGCTCGTATTTTGTTGTCTTTTATTGTAATTAGTTATGCGGATTATCTAGCGTTAGTTCTTGTGTTGCTATTACTAAATACCCTATATTTAGCTGTATATACAAAATCAGTAAATATATAGCAATTATCGTAAGACGTGGTCGAGTGGAGAACGCAGTACCTCCCGCATCTTGATCAGTTACGGGATCAGAACCTATCAAAGCTATCGTTTTTGCGTGAAATAAAGTGTATTTATCTAAGTCTAACATTCCATTGAGTTGTTTCCAAAAGTGTCTTTTTGTAATTGTTTTTTTTTTTAAAATAGATTTTTTTTTTCTTTCTAGATTTAGGTTTTTAAACACGCCAATTAGGCCCTATAAAAACATCGTTGCTCCATTGATCGCCCGCTCGCGTTTTCTGGTCAGCGCACGGTCTAGCCTGGGTCACTGTGAGTTCAGATTGGTTTAGATGTGAACAGTGTAGGCGTATAGCATACGTCATAGCAAGACCATGGCTATGAGCTTGTCGAGATTCGTCGTCGCCGTAGTCCCCCCCCCCCTCCCCTCTCAACCCAGCAAGAGGGAAAAAACGGATTTGGGGTCATTGTGAGTTCAAATGTTACGTATTGCTTCTATTAAAGCGTACTACAACGCATACGTGATATTCGTGTTCAAGAAAACTGGCCAAAAGCTGTAGTCTGCAGCCTATATGAGCTATCTTATACAATTATATATATATATATATATATATATATATATATATATATGTGTGTGTGTGTGTGTGTGTGTATATTTGGACGGATAGACCTATGAAATCAAATTACGTTTAACAGAAGAAAAACAACAACACATTTTTACATGCGCGGCTCAACATGCGCTCGGTCATAGAAGTTCATACCATAGGTCATAATTATATTATAGACCTAACGACACACAGTAATGATATCGGGTATTTAAAGCAAAATCTCAATATATCATTTAGAATTACAGGGAAAAAAATCACAACAGAAAAGATATATTCTGCATCTTAAAAGAATTTTTGTATAACTAAATCTTAACAATTCTATTGGCTGGTCCCAATAGCGGCCGAGGCTATTAGGACCCGGGTCCGAATAGATGCATCCTAGATCTAATCAATAAGCCTAAGGTAGGTAGAGTAAGAACACACATCAGGGCGTCGCAATTCGCTCTTAGGGACCACCAGTCACACTACTGCAGGGACGCTGGGTCCCAGGTTCAGTTTAGTCACTGAATGTTATGACCTACCGTGTCCCTATTGTAGGGTGCTGTTTAAATTAAAATGAATGTAGGTGCCATAGTGCTCACAAAGGAGCCCTGGGTGCTGCAGGTCACCCGATCGTCAGGGCAGGGCACTGTTAAATGCACCTGAATTGATTTAGTGAGTGATTAGTAGCCTGGTCACTTTATTAGCATCTGGGCGAATGTGGGTGCATCTGATTGGATTTAGTGAAAGATTATAGTAACCGACCTTGTCCCTAGTGTATGGCAATCTTTAAAATGAATGTAGGTACCACAGTGCTCATGGGGGAGCCTGGGTCACAGGGTCATGTGAATGGTGAAATTTGAAAGTTGAATCAAGTAGTACTTATGACCCCCTGTGCAATATGCCCAATCAACAGATCCCAGATTCTAATTTAGCTGCCAGAAACTCTGGGTGCAAAATTGTAAAAAAATGAGTGTCGCACCTCAGAAATTAAAAAAAAATTAATTGCAGAAACCTTCCCAAGAGTACTCTCAACAACTTCTTAAAGTTTCATGGTGATGGGTTCAACAGCGTAGTAATGCTTCATTAATTTTAATTTGTAAATGTGTTGTCACAATTTCTACCCCTTGTCACTCATAGTGTGAGTAGCTAGATTAGTTAGACCATCTTTACTAATGTTATTGTAGCATGTCCATGCTCTGACAATAATCCAGACTTTTGCAACAGAGGATGCAAACAAAGTTTAGCGGTAATGATCTCCCCTAAGCGTTCTCTAATATTCTTATATAGCACTATGGGGGATGGCAACTCAGGATATGATTTTTAAGAAGTTTTTAAATACTTAAACTGTTTGAAATAGAATAGAATCTCATAGAAAAAAAAGAATTATGAAACAGTTCTCGAGTTATAGGCATAAAAACCAAAAGTAGAATAAGTTCCACTTTCTGTTACTGGAAATCACTGAATAGTTGATACAGAACAACAACTTTGATAGAATGCTATATATGAAGTTTCATCAACCTAGCTTTAACGTGTTCACAGACATACAGACAAGATAGCAAAATTAAGTTTTTCCAACACAGGGAGGTCTTAAATGTCAAGATTTGTGACAATGTCAATTTTGATGTTTTGCACAATTACTGTACTTCCTCTATAGTCCGTATATGAGAAAGTAAAAATAAAAAAACCTGGTGCTTTAATTTTTTTCTCATTTCTCAGACAAACATGAGCATGTACAACAGCTCATCAGAGGACTCAGACAGCAAATATCTGAATGAGAACATTTTACCAGTAGACCTGCAGTCAAAAAATGTCATCCAGCAACCTTTCAGTTTACCCCTTCATACAGCCAATGGACAACTGAAATCTCTAGCTGGAACCAGCTATTCAAATGGTAACATTAATAATATATTCAAGTACTAGAGAGAGGAGTAGCTAGGGGAGGGTGGGTGTGTCAGCCACCCCAGGTGCTGGCCATAGGGGGTGCCAAAAGGAGTAGAAAAAAATTTAAACGTTCTTTCTGAGCTGGATTATTTACTAAATTATAAGAGAATTGATCGTTACTTTACTTAACAGGACAAACTGATTTAACATTTGTGCGAGAATATGCTTGTCAGAAAAAAAAATGTTGTTAAGTTGTTAAAAAAGTGCATATTTATTTGGGGGGGGGGGGTCAAAGTGATAGTTCGCCCCGCAAGCTGGATCAGGTTGTTACACCTCTGTTACCAGACCATAAGTATGTTTTGTATTAAAATATGTTTTTCGACACCTATGATAAGTAAAGTTTGTAAACATGGGCAGGGAAATTAAAGAAAGTAACATATAAACTGTAATGATTTAACTGCCCTGAATTTCTCATTTGGCTAACCAATCTGTTCTGACAATAATTAAAATTAATATTTGCACATTGCTCTACCTAATCATCAACTCAAGCAGAAAGGGGGAAAAGTTGTTAGTTGTTTTTATTTAATTAGGAAGAAAAGGATTTATAATTAATTATAATTTAATGTATCACCATTTGTCATATTTTGCCGAGTCAGCCATATTTTATGTTTTGCTTTTGCCTTGTTTTGTCAGGTACTATACAACCAGAGCCATATGTTGTTATCTCTGAGCAACCCCAGCAGAGGGGCTTCAGGTTCAGGTATGAATGTGAAGGGCCCAGTCATGGTGGGCTTCAAGGTACCAAAAGTGAGAGAAGTCGAAAATCATACCCATCTATTAAAGTAAGTTGCTACAAAGACAAGGTTTGTAAAGCTTATTGATATGTGAAACAAGGTGGTCTAATGATTGTTAACTAGAAATCCATGAGTGCAGTTACCCTGCTTGAATCGGATGGATGTCTCTGAGTCTATCCAGCACTGATGGGTACCTGGCTTTAGTCAGTGGTAATAAAGGTGGCTTAGTGTTGACCACAGAATTGCTGCAATTTTCAAGATAAAAAACAAATGAATTCATCTGTTGTATGGACCACACAGGTCTGAAAGGGAACTTAATTTTATACATCTATTTAATGAAAATGCTAATGTCACAATGATTTAGTAGCCTATCTATAGGCCTATAATTTTCTTAATGTTTTAGGCAAAATTTACCTGAGGCATATTCTTTTTCCATTTATACCTAGATTCTAGAAGGACACTATAGATTTTCTTTTAACTAAACAGTGCTAAGAATATATCAATTAACAGTTTTAACAGAATTTCATCCTCATAAAAAACATTTTTGGCCCATAATTGAAAAGATTTTAATTGATTGTTTTCCCAGATAGAAAACTACACTGGTGCTGCCAGAGTTGTTGTCAGCCTAGTCACAGATGAAAAAACACCAAGGTCCCATGCGCACAAACTGGTGGGAACCAGCTGCACTAATGGCTTATGTACTGTGGAGATCAAATCAAACGTCGATTGTATAAGGTCAGAAAATTGACTAAACTATGATATTTTTAGTTTATAATGGTTCAGTTTTTACAAATATTAAATTAAATATCTTGTAGGTAAGTTAGAATACTTAATTGTTATTACTATTTTTATAACTTTAATTTTTAAAATAACAGCATAGAAATATTGAATCAAGACAGAAAGTTTTGAAAAAAAATTGTTTGACTTTTTCACCAGTTTTCCCAACCTTTGCATTCTTCATGTGACGAGAAAACGTTTGGTCGATGTTTTGACAGAGAGGAATATTGACTCAATCATCCTTAACAAAAAGGTGCAGGCCAACAACATGAACGTGGATCCACCAATCACAGGTAACCTAACAATGGATTTTAAAAAATCCACTAATCAGAGTTAATCTGTCAGTAGCTGAATCAAGGCTTTAGTTCACTCATTGTTGATAATATTACAATTATTATCTGACTCTATGTATTAGATTTACCACTAACCGGAACACTAAATTCTTGCTCACTTTTAACTCAATAGCTAATAGCTGACTTTAGGCTTTAGGTTCCTCAGGGGTAGGTAATCTGACTATTAATAATTTACATGGCTTTACTTCCACCAGTTGGCTGCCCCTATCTGGTATCATTTGGTTCTATGGAACACCATACCTTAACAAAATTGCTATTGTTGAGGCTCTTAACTTATTATACAATCGACTTTTAAAATGTTTTGTTTAATTTAGTTTCAGAAATATTTGTATATTGTTGACAAATATAAACTCTACAGATGAGGACAAACGCATTGCCAGGCAACAGGCAGAGGAGCAGTCTAAAACAATGCAGCTAAATGTTGTCCGGTTATGTTTCCAAGTTTTCCTCCGCAACCCTGACGGATCTCTGGGCAAACTGTTGCCCCCAGTTGTGTCCCATCCCATCTATGACAGCAGTAAGTCTGTTCTCTCATCATTTTGTCATGGCCCAAAACAGATACCTAAAATTTAAAATGTTAGATCATTTAGTCTTCTTCTGATCAGATTTGTTTGTATGTTTATGTTGGATACACTAATAGGTATACTGGATGAGTTTGTGTTTTTAAATTAAATAAATAATTTTTGTCCAATATAAAATATATATAAAAATGCAAACGAGCTTGAACACAAGTAGCTTTAGTCAATTCATTTTCACATGTTTGCTTAAGTTACATGACCTACAAGTCTTATATAACTTTACTAACTATTGAAGTCAAACATAGTAGCCAATTAAAAAAAAATGTTGATAAACTATTTTCTTTCCGTTATACAACTTTACTAACTATTGAAATCAAAACATGAAACCAATTTTTGTTAAAATGTTGATAAATCTTTGTCCCTGTACAGAATCCCCTGGAGCTTCAGCACTAAAGATTTGTCGCATGGATAAGTATGGAGGCTGCTGTTCAGGAAATGAAGAAGTTTTTTTATTGTGTGAAAAGGTTCAGAAAGGTTAGGATCCAACTTTTAAAGGATGATGTTGTTACGCATTTTAAAAAATCATTTTTATTTAATTATTGCCCAATCAAAAGTAGAAAATTACTGAAAGAAAAAAAATCAGATATGAATTAAGATATATCTTTATTTCCAGATGACATCCAAGTGAGGTTTGTGGAACAAAACCCAGATGGCAGCGTTAAATGGGAGGCGTTTGGTAACTTTGGTCCTCTTGATGTCCACAGACAGGTGAGCCTTCATTAATTTATCAACTTTATGTCATTAGATAGGTGATTAATGAAGTGTATCCACTTTATGTCATTAGACAGTTGAGCATTACATTTATCCACTTGACGTCCATAAAAATGTTTAGAAAGTCATCTTTAAATTTTTCCATCTCTTTTACTGAACGCATTCAGTCCTTCTAGTGTAAAGGCATCACCTAATGCTGGGACATTACTTTTCAGTACGCCATTGTGTTCAAAACTCCAGCCTACTGGAACACCATGATTGACAAGGCTGTCAATGTTCTCATCATGCTGCAGCGCAAGTCTGACCAGGAGGTCAGTGAACCCAAGGCCTTCACCTACTTCCCTCAAAACAGAGGTGAGAACTTTGTCCTTATCCTACAGCCTTTTCAGTGTTAAGTTTACATCTATGATATCTTCACTGCCATATCACAATCACCTTAGTCATGCTTGGAAACAGTTATAAAAAATATAATAACTCAATGCTGTAAGTAATAATTCTGGAGCAGAAATGATCCAATTTTTAAAAAAAGTTTGGGTTTTTAACCATTAAGTTGAAGACCCAAAAATAAACCATTTCAACTTTTAGCTCAATAAGGTTTAATTATTTTTTTTTTGTGTATTTTTGTTTCAATATTTACAACTATTGGAGCGGCATGATTGATATCCATGTTAAATGTATGTTCAGACAAAGACAACATTGCGAGCAAGAAAAGGAAGCGTATTCCACTTGACGGCTACGACTTTGGTGGAGATGGTAGCCAAGGCGGCTCTGGCATGGGTGACGGTGGACTTGGTGGAATGGGCCACAATGGTGGAAATGGTGGTGTGGGAATGTGCAATGGCCCTGGGAGTGGTGGTGGAGGTGGTGGCAATATGATAGGATCAAATGGTAATGATGTCATGTGTTTTCTCATTTGCTTTTGTTGTCCTGTGTCTGGGATTCAAATAAAGTTTTGTTAAAACTAAACTAGTTTCTGATGATAATGCTGCAAACTGTTTGTAGCCATCAAACAGATTTAGATAAATTATTTTCAAAATTGGCTAGAAAAACTAATCTAAAAACATTTGTAAGCAATAACATTGCCATGGCTGTTTTCACTAAAGATTGTATATAAATTCATATAGTTATTTGAAAAAGTTATTTATTTTTAGACATTAAATTTTTGACTTTGTCAAAGTAAGTTTGATGCTGTTGTATATTTTAATTATTTTAACTATATTCTTCACAGAGATGGTCATGCATAACTATATTTCTATCCCAACAATGGTGGAAGAAGGTAAAAATGGTGGGGTGTAGCCATAATACAACACATCATGTCATTCTTAAAATATGTAGTAAATAATGTATAAAGATTTTTATTAGGATGGTTAATAGCTATAATGTTAAAATTATAATCGAAATATGGTAATTTGGTTAATTTAATTATTGTTTTTACTATAAATCATATTTTAAATGATTAAATTCCTTTGCTGTTAGCTGCCAGGGAGGAGTTTGAAAGGAATAACAGAGTACTGGATAGCCAGGTTTTGAGGGCAAGGCTGGATAGGAAGAGAGATAACTCCAGCTCCATGTCCAGTGATAACGACCCTTGGTTCTCAACTGATGATGGGGATATAGAAGTTGATGCAGCCATCATGCCCACTTCCCCTGCCACCTCCAAGATGTATGAACACAATGAAACATTGAAGGTAAATTTAGCATTGATCAGAAAATTTTACAACTGTGACCACAACATTTGAAACGTGCATTCAATAAGTATACAGACATATATTATATACAGAATTGTGCAATTATTTTATCTTTACTGCTGTAGCTCAATTAATTTTTATTTTTATATCAGACGGTTGAAACTACTGTAAAAAACATTGTTTAGTGTTAAAGGGTTTAATGAGACAAAAATAAATTGCCCAGCAAAATGTGAGATGATCATTTTTAATGTGGACACAATTAGGCCATTTAAAGAGCTATGGATGAAATAATGAAAAATATTCAAGTAATGTTGTGCTTATTTTCTTTTAGAAAGAAAAACTGAAATCTCCATTAGCAAAAGAGTACCACACATCTCCAGCTAGGCCTTCAGAACAATCCCAGTCAAACAAAGATGACAAAACATCTCCAAGAAAATCCCCATCAAATAAAGATGACAAAACATCTCCAGGAAAATCCTCATCTAACAAAGAAGAGAAAACAAGGTCCCCCCAAGATGTTATACTGGAATGGGTGGACTCTGGTGTAGACCCTGGCTCAGGAGGAAAATCTCTGATCTCGCTGGAGGAGAAAAAGATGGTGAGCTCACACAGGGTCAAACATTCCAACACTGAAATCTCTATCAAGGAGGAGAGCGAGGACGGGGGCCAGAGGAAGTCTCTGTCATCCTCAGACGAGCACCTGGAGCCGGATGTAAAGATGGACGTCAATTCTGAAGGTGTCAGGAGTGACGAGGGTTTCTCTGAAACATCTGAGGAGGCGGGGCTTAAAGGTCAGCAGATGTCACCTAATAAAGTAGTGCCTGGATCAGTGCCGTCCAATCAGTCGTCAGGTACGATTTTCTGTCACGCTTCATTTGTTTTCATAGTCTTAGTTCTTGTGTTAAAGTCTCAGGAAAATATAAGTTACCTAGGAGGGCTTGGCTATCATTGAAGTAGAGTTCACCGGTTTCTGTAATCTCAGGATATAAAGAGAGACTGTGGTTAGCACTATACTCTCCCTAATGTGAATCAGGTATCCATCATAGCTGGGTGGACATCCTATGAACTCGAGACCTTCATGTTAGCAGTTGTGACTTATAAACATCTCCAAAAAGCTGGAAAATATTTTTTTTTAAAAATAAAGATACAATCTATAACCTATTGATGTTGTATGGTAATGTTAGATTTAGTTGCATCACATATCTTCACACACTCCTCCTTCCTTTCCTGTTAACACTTACTTCCACACACCCATTTAACTCCATTTTCACACATTCTGTATCAGAGTACTTTAGAAAAAAAGTCAATTTTATTTTTACTGTAAATTATTTTTCTTCCCAGCTCACTAAATTTTTTTTTCTAGCTGTAATGTCCCACTGCACTAAGTATATTTATATTCCAGAAACTTCTACCACCCATTGCCAGCAGCTGACTGAAAAAGTGCGTCAGGTGACTGGTCGTGTCGCAGAGAGAACTCTAGCAGCGTTGACTGACTTTGCTGAAACTGGGGACATCAGACATCTTTTACTGGTGCAGCGCCATCTGTTGGCTGTTAGCAACAAAAATGGGGATCTGTAAGATTTTATTTACAAGTTTTTTAAAATCTCAAATTAAGTAATATTGCTCAATTTGAATTGATACTCAGCAATGTTTAACTTCTATATATTTTCCTAATGTCTTCTGAACTCTTGAAATTTTTTTTTTCTTACTGTGAATTAGGTCTCTACACCTGACTGTCATTAACTCACAAACGGAAGCTTTGAAAGGATTGTTGGATGTTATGTGTACACTCCCTGAATCTAAACGCCACATCAACTCACTCAACTTACTGCGCCAGGTCAGATTTTAGTTTCTCTGTCTAAACTGTTGGGAACTTGCACTTAGAGTTTAGCCCTGTTTACCATTGGATTTGATACAGAGTATTTTATAAAATAGTTCAGCTGTTTAGGTCTACTCATTGTACTGATGAGTACTATTGTGTAGTAACCATGATTAGCTATAATCAGTTTTTTTTTTCTTTTCTCTTTGAATGAAATTCAATTTAAATAGTAAATATAACATACTTTAACCTTTTTTTATAATTTACCAAAGCCCTCCCTAGAAGTTTCAAATTATTTACTCACATCTCCATAGCAAAGTTTCTGAATTACCCAGCAAGTAATCAACAAACAAAAAGCCTCCCAATCTTAGCATTATGTTTCTTTACAGCTAAATTTGTTGTACATTTGATCTATAAATATTTCTTTATGTTAATCATAACACTCATCCTTACTTCATGCCAAAGTATATTTGTAGAGCAGTCAATGTATCATTTTTTTAAAGTTAGTTGAGAGAGTTGAATGTTGACTTTTTTCACAGACCCCCTTACACCTGGCCTCAGTGATGAACCAGGAGGGGATGGTTGAGTTGTTGCTGCACGCTGGCGCTGACCCAACCATCGCTGACCGCAACGGCAACACCCCAGCTCACCTGGCTGTTTTAAACAACGCAGAAAAATGCCTGAAAATTCTGGTCAAGTATCTGAGACCTGGGCAAAGTCAGTTCAACCCTTTCCCAGAGTTGAATTACCTCAATTATGATGGTAGGGTCAATTTTACAGCACACTTTATTAGTGCTATTTTTAAATACTTTTAACTATAATTCAGTAAATAATTGTAAAAGTAAAGTTTCACTTTTGCATCTAACAATGAAATAGGTTGATGAAATAGTGCTTATCTGTCTCTTGATCATGGCATATGAAGAGAGGGTGAGGTGAACACTATGCCCAGCCACCTTAACTTACCCTAAAGAGGGTCAGGGGTTAGCTGTGCGACGTCCTACAGACTTGAGTATGAGATCCGAACTCGAGACTTTCAAGTTAGCTATTGAGCTCTCTACCACCAACAATAAATATCAATTTGACTACTGAGAAAAACATTCTTCTCAAAGTTTATTTGTAGATTGTGTGAAATGTTGATAACATACCAGGCTAATAACTATATTGACATGTAACAGGCTACTCCCCCGTCCACCTGGCCGCCATGGCAGGAAGTGTTGACATGCTGCAGCTGCTGGTGTTTGCCCAGGCTCTGGTGGACCTGCCTGATGGCAAGTCTGGCAAGACAGCCCTGCACCACGCTGTGGACAATGGTGATCTGCCTGTGGCCAGCTACTTGTTGTTGGAGGTGAGACACTGATTTTTTTTTCTGGAGCTTTAAGTTTGTAGAATTTTGTTAGGGTGAGTAGTATGTATAACACAAAGGAAACAAAACTATAATAACCCTAATGCTTAACTGAATCAAACAACATTTTGCCCTTAGTATGCACTGTTTGTTATGACTTGACAATACACATATTGAAAATCATAACAGTTCTTCTATTTTAAAAAATCAATATTTTTATCTATATTTAGTTATTCAAACATATAACTGTTAAGCTAATTCTTAACCTCAAAAAGACATCAAAATATTTTTTACTACTAATCTAAATTTAGGCACAAAGTCTTGGCTAAAACTTATAAAATAGAATGAGAATCTCAAAGAGTTGGTAGTTTCAGCCTTGACCTTGCATTCAAAGAGTTTTCCAGCCTTGGCCTTGTAACTATGGTAACGCCAGTTCATCTTTTATCACCAGGCCCAAGCTGACGTCAACGCCAGGTGTTTTGATGGGAACACAGCGCTGCACATAGCATGTGCACGGCAGCTGGTGGGGATGGTGGCGCTGCTTGTCACAGCCGGGGCCGACCTGAACTGCGAGAATGAGGAGATTCCTGACCCAGATTTGGGAGGAGAAGAAAACTCTTGCATCAACCGCAGGGGCTTGAGGCCTGTGGATTACGCTGATGATAATGAACAGGTAATTTAACTTGCTAATGTAGACTACACATATGTGGGTATATAGCATGAACAGAATACTAGCATTACTCTTTACCATTATGCTGAGGCCTTTGGATTACGCTGATGATAATGAACAGGTAATTTAGCTTGCTAATGTAGACTAAACATATGTAGGTATATAGCATAAACAGAATACTAGCATTACTCTTTACCATATGCTGATATTATGAATGAGTATCATGAATAGTATTGACTGGCTAATATTTTACTCAAGATCCTTCGCATTTTGTTTGGTGAGGCCAACGCAGCAAATCAACCTCCATCAGATGACAGTGATGAATTGACATCACGTCTGTCTATGATGTCAGTTGGGTTGACATCTGATTGGCTTACAAGTCTCCCAGGGAAGACAATCAATGACAGTGGACTAGAGAGTTATCTCCCTTCTTCAGGTTGGTGTTTAAATTTGTTTTTCCTGTTATACTAATTTAGGATTTCGGAACACAATATTATGTACACTTTTGTAAAGAATTTCACCCTTTTCTTCACTTAATAAAACGTTAAAATTATATTGAAATTTTTTTTCTTGAGACAATCAATCAGTCAACTCAGAATTATCTCTAAGATCTCATGATCAAGGTGGAAATAAAAAATTCGGAGATAACAAATTTCCTTAGACCTTAGTTGTTTCATTGTTATGCCTTTGACCCAAATTATCTATAAATTTACAGTTAAAACTTACTTTGTGACAAATTTTTAAAATAAATTTCAGCTCACCGAGGCGTGTCAGAGCTGTGTACAAAAACCAGAATGGACCTCTCACGTCTGCTGGACCCTCCACAGAGGGACAAAGACGTCATCGCTCTGGCAGAGAAACTCGGCTTCTCCAACTTGACTACCAGCCTGGTTGCAATGAGGTCCAGTCACACCAGCCCAACTGATTTTTTGCTGGAATATTTTGAGGTTCATCATTTTTGTCTGACTAGATAGTGATCATTGGAATTTGTTATTTAAAAAAATGTAATATTCACTACTTATTAAAACCCCACTGGGCTAGGGTTACAATACTAGCTTGTTAGGACCTGGAAGTGTTTTTATTGGTCAATTTTAGTTCAAGGGATATTTAAATATTTCTCTTGAATTTTATTTTCAAGAGATTATTATATAAGTAAACAAACAAATTGTTTAGTAAAAAAAAAGCCCATTGAACTAGTTGTTTAAAGTTTAGGGATTTAAACCTTTTCAACTTAGATGACTAACATCACAAAAATCTCTTGTTTTTATTAAAGTGATTAACCAAATATTCTTTATTATAACGGAACTTCTGTCAGTAGCTTGGCAACTTATTTATTTTTTAAATTGTATGTGTACAGTATATAAACGTTATTTTTAAAAAGAATATTTTATGTGTTTGTTGTGTAAGTGAGTATATTTTCTGATGTTGATGTGATTCTATTTTTGCATGTTTATGTGATATGCCAGTATGATTCTATTTTTGTATATTCAAGTGATTCTATTTTCAGATGCTTATGTGATTATATGTTTGCATGTTATTTTTGCTTAATTATATGTTAATGTAATTCTATTTTAGGATGTTAATGTAATTTCTTATATTCCCAGACTGTAGACGGGAACCTGAATAAATTAAAAGAAGGCCTGTGCTCCATAGGCAGGGAGGATGTAGCCTCTCTCATACAGTGACACACTGACACGTAACGTCTTCATCAGTCAGGACTGACAGGATACCACATAACTGGGGTTCAAGGTCAGGATTGATCTCATATACCAGTCAACTGATTGTCAATTTATTAAAAAAAGATGTCCTGATACATTGTTTGAAACTCTCATGCTTGTTAGTTATAAATAAGATTTGTAAATTGTTTACTAATTCGGTCCTATATAATTATTGTGATAATGGGTAACGGTGTGTTGTTGAATGTTAGAATTGGATTTTTAAAAATAATAAGTAATTTGATCCTATTTTTTTTTTAAACTAATATTTTTTGCTTTTTAAATTTGATCTGATGAGATTGTCTGATCAGACAATCAGAATGTCTGTCCATTGACAAGGCAGACAATATGTCTGTCCATTGACAAGGCAAACAATACGTCTGTCCATTGACAAGGCAAACAATATGTCTGTCCATTGACAAGGCAAACAATACGTCTGTCCATTGACAAGGCAAACAATATGTCTGTCCATTGACAAGGCAAACAATATGTCTGTCCATTGTTAAGTCAAACAGAATGTCAGTCCATTGTTAAGTCAAACAGAATGTCAGTCCATTGGCAAGGCAAACAATGTCAGTCCATTGGCAAGGCAAACAGAATGCCTGTACACTATAAGGCCAAAAAAATGTCTGTCCATTAATAAGGCAAAGAGAATGTCTCTAAATTGTCTGATATAACAATTAAAATGTCTGTATAAGACATGGTGAAATTGCTTCATGTATGGATGTGCAGTGATGTTTTATTTAACTGTTTAAATGTTTAGAGAACTGTATGTTTGTTTACAATTATTTGTAAACTGTTTAAAAACTTTGATACTAGATGTGATAAACTTCAAACTATGACAATAAACTTTGAAAAACATGGCAGCAGCCTCGTTGTATAAACTATTTTCACCAGTGTGAAATTTGAGAATTTGTTTCTTGTAAAAACTTTTCCAGTTTTTTAAACAATTTTTTTAACATCCAGAAACTCCACAACCATCACGTTTTTTTATTTAAAAAAAACAGCTTTCACAAATATAAAATCATAATTAGATTGACAATCTGTGTAATATGTTCATTTGTCTCATGTGACCTAAGTATATTCATTTTGTCTTCATCTAGGAATAATCAGAATGGAAGTATTAATTTTACTCCATGTTTACAATATTTTTTTACACCCTTTTTTTTCTTGTGGATCAAATTGTAGCTGAAGTAAGCTAATACTCATTAACGGCTAAAGATTTATGAACTGTATGTTAGCTTATGGCTGATGATTTATGAGCTGTTTATTAGCTAATGGGTGATAACTTTCTTTATGTGTGTGTTCACTTAACGACACATTCCTTGTTTTCAGGTTAAACACAAAGGTTTAACTGCCTTACGATGTGCTTCAGCTAAACATTTCACATCATCTGTGTTCTGCTCTCGCCGTTGTCATGGCAACTGTGTAATGTACATAATGCTTGTTTAACCATTGCCATGTTAGCTTACCAAGCTACTGTTTATATTTTTATGTTTTAAAAAAAAAATGTGTTGAATTCTACATATGTACAGCCTGTATGTAATAACTGTTGTTTCGGTACATTTTTCATTGATTATCACATATTTTACCAGATGATTGTTGTCATGGTAACCCTTGCATAAAAATAACAAATTTTTTTTTTACCTGATGATGGTAAAAACACTTATTTTATTATTTGAAGATTGTTAGCGTGTTAACTTTTGGGAAAGGAAACATATTTATCCTGCACTCTTGCTGTGTGAAAGTTGAGTAGAGAAACACCTGTTGTACCTAATGACTATAAAGCCACTTGTTAAAGCACTATCACTTTTTTAAAATAAACATTGAAGGAAGCTGCAGCTTCATGATTTACATCATGTGTCCTTTTTTTTTTGCTTACATCATGTGTCCTGTTTTTTTACTTACATCATATGTCCTTTTTTTTACTTACATCATGCGTCCTTTTTTTCACTTACATCATGTGTCCTTATTTTTTTCTTACATCATGTGTCCTTTTTTTACTTACATCATGTGTCCTGTTTATTTTTTACTTACATCATGTGTCCTGTTTTTTTTACTTACATCATGTGTCCTGTTTTTTTTTACTTACATCATGTGTCCTGTTTTACTTACATCATGTGTCCTGTTTTTTTTAATTACATCATGTGTCCGTTTTTTTTAATTACATCATGTGTCCTGTTTTGTTTTTACTTACATCATGTGTCCTGTTTTTTAAAAATAACATCATGTGTCCTGTTTTTTTTAAATTACATCATGCGTCCTGTTTTACTTACATTATGTGTCCTGTTTTTTTTTACTTACATCATTTGTCCTGCTTTTTTAACTTACACCATGTGTCTTGTTTTTTTTACTTATATCATTTAAAAAAAAAAATTTCACCCAGACATGTAATTTACAACGTCAATTAGCCTTGGCATGTTTGCTTTAGTATTATGGTTTTCATCATCTCAGCATGTGAGGACGGATACAGATTTACTTCTTTCTGTCATGTGCTTTCATTCATTGATGTAGGTTTACTTGTATCATAGGTCCTGATTTTATTTACATCTTTTACATCTAGTGTTCTATTTTTACAAGCTTTTATTTAACTCACTTCCTCTGTCGTCAGTCTGTCGACAGTCTGTCTAGACGGAAACGCAGGAGTGAAAATTCGGACAGTTCTACTTGACCGACACGATTCACAGTTGGCACGTGGGTCAAGACATGAAGACAATGCAATCTGAAACTAAATTTGACTTAATTGGATGCCTAATTGATTTTTTATGAATTAATTAAAATTTGGACCGAATTAGTAGGCATGTCTAGCCAACCACACCACACGCGTCATCAATAGCTGCGCCATCACGACCACGTAATGGCTGCGTTCAAAAACCATTGCGCGCCTACTGAACGTGATGTTCAGTAGGCGAGCAATGGTTTTTAGTCATGTAACTCTATTGTAAATAAAACATGTAAAGTACTGAAAAAAAAATTCATAAAAAACGTTTTAATAACAAGCTTTTATGTAATGATGCACTAAAAAGTAGAAAATAAATTATAGACTACTATTTAAATAACTATAAAGAAAAGCGTGGGTGTCTTCTTTAACATTAGTAAAGGTATCCAATAGATACTAAAGTGACCCACGCTTTTCTTTATAGTTATTTAAATAGTAGTCTATAATTTATTTTCTACTTTTTAGTGCATCATTACATAAAAGCTTGTTATTAAAACGTTTTTTATGATTTTTTTTTTTTTTACAAGCTTTTATTTAACTCACTTCCTCTGTCGACAGTCTGTCTGTCTAGACGGAAACGCAGGAGTGAAAATTCGGACAGTTCTACTTGACCGATACGATTCACAGATGGCACGTGGGTCAAGACATGAAGACAATGCAATCTGAAACTAAATTTGACTTAATTGGATGCCTAATTAATTTTTTATGAATTAATAAAAATTTGGACCGAATTAGTAGGCATGTCTAGCCAACCACACCACACGCGTCATCACCTTCAATAGCTGCGCCATCACGTAATGGCTGCGTTCAAAAACCATTGCGCGCCTACTGAACGTGATGTTCAGTAGGCGCGCAATGGTTTTTAGTCATGTAACTCTATTGTAAATAAAACATGTAAAGTACTGAAAAAAAAATTCATAAAAAACGTTTTAATAACAAGCTTTTATGTAATGATGCACTAAAAAGTAGAAAATAAATTATAGACTACTATTTAAATAACTATGAAGAAAAGCGTGGGTGTCTTCCTTAACATTAGTAAAGGTATCCAATAGATACTAAAGTGACCCACGCTTTTCTTTATAGTTATTTAAATAGTAGTCTATAATTTATTTTCTACTTTTTAGTGCATCATTACATAAAAGCTTGTTATTAAAACGTTTTTTATGAATTTTTTTTTTACAAGCTTTTATTTAACTCACTTCCTCTGTCTGTCGTCAGTCTAGACGGAAACGCAGGAGTGAAAATTCGGACAGTTCTACTTGACCGATACGATTCACAGTTGGCACGTGGGTCAAGACATGAAGACAATGCAATCTGAAACTAAATTTGACTTAATTGGATGCCTAATTAATTTTTTATGAATTAATAAAAATTTGGACCGAATTAGTAGGCATGTCTAGCCAACCACACCACACGCGTCATCACCTTCAATAGCTGCGCCATCACGTAATGGCTGCGTTCAAAAACCATTGCGCGCCTACTGAACGTGATGTTCAGTAGGCGCGCAATGGTTTTTAGTCATGTAACTCTATTGTAAATAAAACATGTAAAGTACTGAAAAAAAAATTCATAAAAAACGTTTTAATAACAAGCTTTTATGTAATGATGCACTAAAAAGTAGAAAATAAATTATAGACTACTATTTAAATAACTATGAAGAAAAGCGTGGGTGTCTTCCTTAACATTAGTAAAGGTATCCAATAGATACTAAAGTGACCCACGCTTTTCTTTATAGTTATTTAAATAGTAGTCTATAATTTATTTTCTACTTTTTAGTGCATCATTACATAAAAGCTTGTTATTAAAACGTTTTTTATGAATTTTTTTTTACAAGCTTTTATTTAACTCACTTCCTCTGTCTGTCGTCAGTCTAGACGGAAACGCAGGAGTGAAAATTCGGACAGTTCTACTTGACCGATACGATTCACAGTTGGCACGTGGGTCAAGACATGAAGACAATGCAATCTGAAACTAAATTTGACTTAATTGGATGCCTAATTAATTTTTTATGAATTAATAAAAATTTGGACCGAATTAGTAGGCATGTCTAGCCAACCACACCACACGCGTCATCACCTTCAATAGCTTCAATGGCTGCGTTCAAAAACCATTGCGCGCCTACTGAACGTGATGTTCAGTAGGCGCGCAATGGTTTTTAGTCATGTAACTCTATTGTAAATAAAACATGTAAAGTACTGAAAAAAAAATTCATAAAAAACGTTTTAATAACAAGCTTTTATGTAATGATGCACTAAAAAGTAGAAAATAAATTATAGACTACTATTTAAATAACTATAAAGAAAAGCGTGGGTGTCTTCCTTAACATTAGTAAAGGTATCCAATAGATACTAAAGTGACCCACGCTTTTCTTTATAGTTATTTAAATAGTAGTCTATAATTTATTTTCTACTTTTTAGTGCATCATTACATAAAAGCTTGTTATTAAAACGTTTTTTATGAATTTTTTTTTAAAAGTTTTGTGATGTGTGAATAATTTTGAAAAATTAAGCAATTCTGTTTAAATTTTGCCAGAGTTAAAAGCAGAACTGTGAAAGCGTCAACAACTTTGAGCATATTAATTTGTGTGGATTGGTAAAAATAATTCTGAACAACTCTTTGATTCTAGTTGTTAACTTTGATACTATAAGCTTAAAATTAATGTCTAGTTTTATACATTCAGGACATAGACCCACAAGAAAAAAATTAAAAGCCAGCACATTAGACATATAATTTTTAAAATAAGAGGTGATTGAAGAAGTTGTTTCTAATTTTAAATTGAAGTTTTTTGGTCCAGTTTATTGAGTTGTCTCCCATTGCCCATAACAACGTTAATTCGTGTCGTAAGGAATAAAATAAAAAGCTAGGCGCTAACAAAAATGTTCTAGCTCAGAGTAAGGAGTTTTTCTTCCAGACTTTTTTCTCGGGGGGGGGGGGGGGCACTTGATATTTTCGGGGTAGCGGTCAACATTTTCCGGGGGTGTGGGGGGGGGGGGGGCACAAGTAAAAGTATATGTTTGCTATATAAATTCCATCTCATTGGGGGGGGGGGGGGGCGGTAGACTTTCTTCGAAGAGATGCCTGGAAGAAACTCTGAGAGTATGTAGGCTGGTTTTGTAGAAATTTGTGGATATAATTTTGGCGTAAATATTTATAAAATTTTCTAAATATTCAACCAGAATTAAATAATTTTAATAATGGGGAGGGGGTGGGGGGATAAAAAACAACCGCTTCTGCTAGCCAATCCTTACTCAATCACAGTAGCGTAGCGAGGGGGGGGGGGGACCTTAGGGGGCGCCAAAATGGGTTGGAAAAATAAATTGAAAGGTTGAGGGGGGTGCAAATTGAAAGTTTGAGGGGGGGGGGGGTGCAAATCGAAACTTTGAGGGGGGGGGGGGGGTGCAAATCGAAAAGTTTGTCTCCGGGCGCCGGGAAGGGTCGCTACGCCTCTGCTCGATCATGAGGTTTAAACACGAGGTTTCAGCTTGCAACAAGACCTTCGTTATGGTGATGTAGGGACAAGTTTAGCAATTAAAAAAAAAGACAAGCCATATCTAAAACTGTATCAAGTCGGCCTAAAAAATATGAATAAAGAAAATCTTTGAGATTTAAAACATTTATCGCAACTAGATCTTAAAAACATTGGTGGTTGCCACTGGTTGGCATTCTAATTTCTAATTTCACATTTTTCTTATATAGTTGCCTCTCTCTCTCTATACATATATATATATATATATATATATATATATATATATATATATATATATATATATATATATATATATATATATATATATATATATATATACCAACCTCTGCTGCCTAATTAATACTGAATGTTTATAAAAAGGTGAACCCAAATTAATCTAATGATAATGTTTGAATGAATTGAAAATAGTACTTTTAAAATTCCCCATCTCATATGAAGAATCTATTCTCTCCTCGTGATGTAACCATTTATTTTTTTAAGTCCGTAAAATAAAATAAAAAAATTTAAAAATCTAAAAAGTTATAGCGCCCCGCAGACGTGAGGTACACCGTGCACGGTGTAAGCGATGAAAAGTTCCAGCAATTTTTTTTCCCTGCCTAGGGTTCCTGAGGTCGCACGTAGACTGGCGTAAGACGATGAGAGGCTGTGAGCGCCGGGCGGGGATTCTACGTGAGTAAGTGTCGACTGGGCGGAGACAGGGCCAGCTCTCTACTCTGTGGGTCAAACCAAGTTTTATCCGTTTGATTTTTTTCCCCTATATTTTCGTGCAAGATGTCTTGACCAAAGGAAACGTTCGTTTAGTGGAAAGTTTAGTCAAAGTTTTTCAGTGATCGGACAATGTAAACATTTCGTCTGGGCAGACGATCGAGTTGAAGAATAAAAACGTAAGTACACAGGCGATGAAGACGTAACTGTTGCATGATGGGAAATGTTTGGATTGACTTTGTGACTTGTGAGAAGTCGGTTTTTTTTTTTTTCGCGAAGTGACGACGAACAAAGCGTTTGTAGTCATCTATTTTTATCGCACAATTTTTACAAGTTTTGAACCAGATTTAAAAACAACTGTTTGCAAATATGCCAACAAAGGTGTTACTAAATCAGAAAATGTTTGGTATTTGAGATAAAATATGAAAATATAATGAGATTAGTGTTGTGAGATTAAAGTTGTCAAAGATGCATTTCATGGTGTTTTAATTACTGGATACTGCTAAACTATTGACAATGCTGTTCCATTGAATGGGTTAAAATGGGGGTTGGTTCACTAAGAATAAGTGAAGTTGATTTTGTTAGATTGTAAAGATTATGGTTTAGTGAAACTGATTTAGTGAGACCGAGTGAAGTTGATTGGGAAAGTGATTGTTAACCTTGTGAGACCGAGTAATACTGATCTTGTAAAGCTCAACAACTAGTTGAGGCCAGTGATGGTAGCACGTTAACCCCTTGATCTTGTAACAGTAAAACCCCCTGATGTTGGCCTAGTAAAACCCCCTGATGTTGGCCTAGTAAAGCCCTTTGATGTTGTCCTAGTAAAGTCCCTTTGTATTGGCTTAGTAAAGCATCATGATGTTGGCCTAGTAAAACCCCCTGATATTGGCCTAGTAAAACCCCCTGATGTTGGCCTAGTAAAACCCCCTGATGTTGGCCTAGTAAAGCCCCCTGATGTTGGCCTAGTAAAACCCCCTGATGTTGGCCTAGTAAAACCCCCTGATGTTGGCCTAGTAAAGCCCTTTGAATGTTGGCATAGTAAAGCCCTTTGATGTTGGCATAGTAAAGCCCTTTGATCTTGGCCTAGTAAAGCCCCTTGATCTTGGCAGAGTAAACCCCCTTGATATTGGCCTAAGTTAAGCCCCTTGATGTTGGCCTAGTAAAGCTCTTTGATGTTGGCCTAGTAAAGCGCCTTTGTTGGCCTAGTAAAGCCCTTTGATGTTGACCTATTAAAGCCCCTTGATTTTGGCCTAGTTTAAAGCCTTGATGTTTGTCTAGTAAAATAAATGACTTTTTAAAAAACAAAACCCTATAGATTCAAACAATTTGTTATACTAATAACATAGACATAACACGTCTACAGTTGGGAAACATCCAAACACGTTAAAGTAAAAAAAAAATCACATTACTAAGAATTTGAACTCACAAAGACGATAACCCAAGTTACTGTCCCAATGATATTTAACAATCATAACTCATTTGTAAACAATCCTAAGTATGTTTCAAATCTCGGCTCTCAAAAGAAATACAACTGACACTGATACTGTAATTTTGACCAACTGAAACCCAGCCTTTTATTCACTGTGCCGCTGTTATCAAGATGTTTTTATTTTGGCTCCCCGCTCTTTACGGCAAGCAACTGGTTGTAAACAAGGGTCAGATACTCGCGACCTTAGAGGGGAGGTACAGGCAACAGGGGGGGGAGGTGCCAGCGGTAGGAGGGGGGGGGGGGCAGGGAAGAAAGCCGAAAGCCGGAGTGAGTGTGTTTCTTTGTTCGCCAGTTCTCTCCCTGCCGGTCACATGACATGAGCCGAATATGCCACGTCTTGCACGGTTCAGATTTCGCCGCCTTGAAGAACTCGGGGCCGTTAGCACTAGCCCAGTTTATGTGCGGGGTCGGACAACCCCCCGTCCCTCGCTTCTGCCCCCCCCCCCCCCCCCCCCATCACTAGTGCATGACTTGCATCTGCTGTGAACTCGCAAGTTTGTAAATAATACAATCAAAGCGCTCGAACTAGACACAACATTACATAATTAAAGCTGTTTCATAATAACACATCATTATAGTTTTTACATTCTGTTATGAAACTACATACAATTACTTATTAAATACATTCAATAATTAAGTAGGCAATTATGTAATTAAAAAAAGTAGTGCCTAGATGTGCTTTAACTTATCTAATTACTCAAATAGTTATATAATGACATACACCCGTGTATTATTACTATTTATTACTAACATACACTATTACATGCTTACACACCACTGTGTAGTTATATTCAGCATAGCATATTTCATACACTAATACATGATTACACACTGCTATAGGCTATAATTACACCTAAAACTAACGATACGAAACCATTATGAGACATGCGTGTTCCAAAAACAATGATGACTTGAGTAAATCATTATACTTGTTCTAGAACTGTTTAGAATAAACAGCAGTATGAACTGGGTTTTGTTACAATAGTACTGACTTACAAAAGTACTGACACATTGTTACAATAGTACTGACTTACAACAGTACTGACACATTGTTACAATAGTACTGACTTACAACAGTACTGACACATTGTTACAATAGTACTGACTTACAACAGTACTGGCACATTGTTACAATAGCACTGACTTACAACAGTACTGACACATTGTTACAATAGTACTGACTTACAACAGTACTGACACTCTCCATGGAAGGTCTGTTTTAAATGGCCTCTTTGAAGTCTACTCTAAACGTAGCCCCACTCAAGAAAATAAAAGGGCTCACAATTTCCGTAGGGATCGGAAACATCAATGGTACCACAAGCTCGTTACTTTATAAGTAGGGCTAGTTGACGTTAGATCACTTAATAAGTAGGGCCTTTTGACGTTAGATCACTTAATAAGTAGGGCTAGTTGACGTTAGATCACTTAATAAGTAAAGCCTTTTGACGTTAGATCACTTAATAAGTAGGTCTAGTTGATGTTAGATCACTTTATAAGTAGGGCCTTTTGACGTTAGATCACTTTATAAGTAGGGCCTTTTGACGTTAGATCACTTAATAAGTAGGGCTAGTTGACGTTAGATCACTTAATAAGTAGGTCTAGTTGATGTTAGATCACTTAATAAGTAGGGCTAGTTGACGTTAGATCACTTAATAAGTAGGGCCTTTTGATGTTAGATCACTTTATAAGTAGGGCTAGTTGACGTTAGATCACTTAATAAGTAGGTCTAGTTGATGTTAGATCACTTTATAAGTAGGGCCTTTTGACGTTAGATCACTTTATAAGTAGGGCCTTTTGACGTTAGATCACTTTATAAGTAGGGCTAGTTGACGTTAGATCACTTTATAAGTAGGGCCTTTTGACGTTAGATCACTTTATAAGTAGGGCTAGTTGACGTTAGATCACTTTATAAGTAGGGCTAGTTGACGTTAGATCACTTTATAAGTAGGGCCAGTTGATGTTAGATCACTTTATAAGTATGGCTAGTTGATGTTAGATCACTTGGATTAAGGTATCTCAGTATTTGAGTTAAATGTCTGGACATCGAGATGGGTTGGGAGGGGGCATCACCAGGCAGCATGTGATCCACATATTATAATGTGAGCGCCGAGCGAGTCAGTCGAGGGTGCCGCCAGAAACGTGTACTCATCAAAGCACGAGCCTCGGCGATGGCACCGACGCTCTAAATACCTGACATTGTTATCGTCTGCTTCAGGGGTATCCGCTGTTACACAACCTCTCGGCTCTGTTGGTTTAACCGTACCCTTGCATGCTTTACAGCTCTATTTCTGTAGAGAAACTAGCAGTATTAATCCCAACATTCAGTCTAGCCCTAGTCTAAATACAAACTTAACACTTAAGTTTAGATTTATCGTCAACTACAGCGCTTGTATTCAGGTTAGAGTTTAAGTTCCGTATAGATTATGGTAGCACCAAGATACAATGGTGCAAGAGTCACGACAAACCAGACGTCTATGTTTACTATTTCTTTTTCCGGTGATTGAGTAATAAAACACCCGTTTTAAATATTCAGGCAATTGAATGGCTTGAGTTTGCCCTTGAAATTTGTAATTTTTTTTTTCGTTCTTTGTTTAGAAATTTTCCAAACTAGATTTGGAAACTGAGCGTCTCACTCCACCACTCCAAAAGTTTTGCATTTTCTGTTTGGTGTCACCCATCTCCTCTACCAGGGGTGGGCTGGCGGTGACAGTCCATCTTTGCCATCGAGTGTTTACTTTTAACTAGACACAACATTGTACTTGATTGTACTCTCTTATCAGAATTTATTTAAATGGGATTTAGATATATGTTTAGATTAGTGATTAAAGTAACAAATTACAAGGACGCATATTTCGGTTGTGTTCTAAGTTGTATTCTGCTTGCGTTTGTTGTTTTGATTTAAGTGTAAACTTTGAATATAATTAGGTTTATTCTGTTAATATTTTTTAAAAAATGTTTTAATAGTTTTAAAGTAAAGATTGTGCATTTGTTAAGGTTTATATTATCAGTTTTTCTTCCAGACCAGACTTTATTCTCAGGGGGGGGGGGGGGGGGCGCACTGGTAAAAATGTTTTCTATATAAATTCCAGTTCGTTCGAGGGGAGAGGGGCGGTAGACTTTCTTCGGTGGGGGGGGGGGCTTTGCCCCTCCGAAAAGATGCCTGGAAGAAACTGTTTATAATTAAATTAAAACCGTTTAGTGATATAAGCAAGATATTTGGTTGTGTAGACTTTGTGCACGGTGATATAGACATCCAATGGCTACCTGCGTGACAGCAGCAAGTTGCACGTATGTGCAATTTAAAGTATTATTTCAACATTTACTTCAGCTGAAAGTGAAGTGGGTGATAAAGGTAGGGGGCGGGACAGGGTGGGGGGGGGGGGGGGGGAAAGAAGGTTGATGATCATACATGGCCTTGAGCACACATCAATGATGGTTTTTGGTGTATTTTATTTGATTGTTTCGATTGTTTCTATTATTTTTATTTCTATTATTTTGATAAAAAAAACAACTACATATAACATCGAGCAGTAAAACCTAATGCTGCTGGTCTAAAACGTCGTCTACTAAATACTTCCGGTTCTCCAACAGAAAGTTTACAAAAATGTGAGCTTTGACGTCATTGAGACCTTTCCCGAAGTGGGTTCCGTCATAGCTCATCACCCCCTCAGTCAGGTTGAAAAAGTCAACCACGGGAACTCCCCGTTTTTCCATGACTCCGCGTATGACTCTGTTGTAGAATTTCATATGATCGGACTGCTGCGCTGTATTGAGTCCACTTTTGAGCAGTCCTGGGGCGTGTGGGGTCATCCAGATGACCTTAGGCCAAGGTGACATTGACATCAGCTCAAAAATTGGGTTAAGAACCTAGAGAAACAAATCAAGTGACGGTAATGAGGATAATATTTTTTTTAAAGTATCCTTGTGACCAACATTGGACAGCTACAAATGAGTAGTATTGACATATATTTAGGAAGATAAAGTAGGTCTAATTTCTTCTTCGTTCTTAATTTTAATGTTGGAAGGGATTCCCTCCAACACAATTATTTCGTGTCAACTGGTAATGCGCCATTGAGGCCATTGACTCCGATTTCCGCCTGCTTTTCTTTTTGGATTTGCTTTGTCCAACCAAGAACTAACTACAAGGCAGCAGTTGTTTGATTTTGGAGTTTTCTCTCTTAGAAGAGTTACTGTTAGCAGCTATCTATAGTATTCTATAGTAGGGGTCTCCAAACTACGGCCCGCGGGCCGGATGCGGCCCGCGAAGTCCTCTCATCCGGCCCGCGGAGATCTTTTTGTCCAAGGAAAAATCGTTTGTTGGTGATGGCTGAGGAACTTTGCCCAGAAAAATCAAAGACATGCCTGGAAGAAACTGGCCCCCAAACTGAAATTGATAGTTAATGCGGCCCTCGGACTGAAAAGTTTGGAGACCCCTGTAATCTATAGCCTCGTCTGCCTGGTACAGCAACAATGAGCTTAACCGACCCGACCACATAAAGTAACTGACGGCCAACAAGGCCTTATGCTGATTGGACGAACGACGATCACGTGTAGCCGTACCTTAGTCAATATAAGCTCGTGATCCAGCCCGTCGTGCATCCCAATACCAAAGACGAAGAGCGAATTGTTTTTGCCACTCAGCTCCCCCATGGCCTCTAGGATGTTCGCAATCTGACTGACACTCCAGAGTTCCACAATCTTGAGCCGAACCTAGAGCAAGGTCGGTGTTTTGGTCACAATATGACAAATACATGTGACGTGACGCGATCAAGTGGCATGTCCCGTGAAGCGTGACCACCACCAAATGTCATGCTCCCTGAGGTGTGACCTCCACCAAATGTCATGTTATCCGGACTTTGACCACCAACAAATGTCATGATTTCTGATGTTTGACCATCACCAAATGTCATGTTCCCTGAGGTGTGACCACAACCAAATGTCATGTTAACTGAGGTGTGACCCCCCACCAAATGTCATGTTCCCTGAGGTGTGACCACCACTAAATGTCATGTTCCCTGAGGTGTGACCCCCCACCAAATGTCATGTTCCCTGAGGTGTGACCCCCCACCAAATGTCATGTTCCCTGATGCGTGACCACCACCAAATGATATGTTCCCTGATGACCCCCACCAAATGTCATGTTCCCTGCCTACCTTTCTCCCACAGTTGTGGGTATCCCGCTGGATCACCCCGGAACATTCGCTGAAGTACATGTAGTAGCGGTCACACTTTGCTTGCATGTCTGTAACAGAGTGGAGCAATTTTTTAGAAACTGTTCAGACGAAGTTCCATAAGGAGTTAGTACTAAAAGGTGTCCAGGGAGCCAGATAGTAAGATAGGATGGCATGATTAAAATGTGATAAAATTGCGTAAATATGTTTTGACCCCGGACGCTGCAAGGCCTCGCTATGGTCTAGAATTAAAATTTGTTTCATAGGTTTATTCTATAACTTGACACACTGACAGCGACTATTTGAATGTATAGCAACTAAACTGACGCCCCACCTAGCCAATGTCGTAGAGACCCATTCCGACTCCCCGGGCGTATTTTCCAGTAGAACCACCTACCTCCAGACGTATTGTCCACTAGAACCACCTACCTCCAGACATATTGTCCACTAGAACCACCTACCTCGAGGCGTATTGTCCTCTAGAACCACCTACCTCGAGACGTATTGTCCTGTAGAACCACCTACCTCGAGGCGTATTGTCCACTAGAACCACCTACCTCCAGACGTATTGTCCACTAGAACCACCTACCTCGAGACATATTGTCCACTAGAACCACCTACCTGGAGACGTATTGTCCAGTAGAACCACCTACCTCGTATTGTCCACTAGAACCACCTACCTCCAGACATATTGTCCACTAGAACCACCTACCTCGAGGCGTATTGTCCACTAGAACCACCTACCTCGGGACATATTGTCCACTAGAACCACCTACCTCGAGGCGTATTGTCCACTAGAACCACCTACCTCGTATTGTCCACTAGAACCACCTACCTCCAGACATATTGTCCTCTAGAACCACCTACCTCGAGACGTATTGTCCACTAGAACCACCTACCTCGAGGCGTATTGTCCACTAGAACCACCTACCTCCAGACATATTGTCCTCTAGAACCAACTACCTCGAGACGTATTGTCCACTAGAACCACCTACCTCCAGACGTATTGTCCACTAGAACCACCTACCTCGTATTGTCCACTAAATCCACCTACCTCGAGACGTATTGTCCACTAGAACCACCTACCTCGAGACGTATTGTCCTCTAGAACCACCTACCTCGTATTGTCCACTAGAACCACCTACCTCGAGACGTATTGTCCTCTAGAACCACCTACCTCGTATTGTCCACTAGAACCACCTACCTCGTATTGTTTACTAGAACCACCTACCTCGAGACGTATTGTCCTCTAGAACCACCTACCTCGAGACGTATTGTCCACTAGAACCACCTACCTCGTATTGTCCACTAGAACCACCTACCTCGAGACGTATTGTCCACTAGAACCACCTACCTCGAGGCGTATTGTCCTCTAGAACCACCAACCTCGAGACGTATTGTCCACTAGAACCACCTACCTCGTATTGTCCACTAGAACCACCTACCTCGTATTGTCCACTAGAACCACCTACCTCGAGGCGTATTGTCCTCTAGAACCACCTACCTCGAGGCGTATTGTCCACTAGAACCACCTACCTCGTATTGTTTACTAGAACCACCTACCTCATGACGTATTGTCCACTAGAACCACCTACCTCGAGGCGTATTGTCCTCTAGAACCACCTACCTCGAGGCGTATTGTCCACTAGAACCACCTACCTCGTATTGTTTACTAGAACCACCTACCTCATGACGTATTGTCCACTAGAACCACCTACTTCGAGACGTATTGTCCTCTAGAACCACCTACCTCGTATTGTTTACTAGAACCACCTTCCTCGAGACGTATTGTCCACTATAACCACCTACCTCGAGACGTATTGTCCTCTAGAAACACCTACCTCGAGGCGTATTGTCCACTAGAACCACCTACCTCGAGGTGTATTGTCCACTAGAGCCACCTACCTCGAGGCGTATTGTCCACTAGAACCACCTACCTCGAGGCGTATTGTCCACTAGAACCACCTACCTCGAGGTGTATTGTCCACTAGAGCCACCTACCTCGAGGTGTATTGTCCACTAGAGCCACCTACCTCGAGGTGTATTGTCCACTAGAGCCACCTACCTCGAGGTGTATTGTCCACTAGAGCCACCTACCTCGAGGTGTATTGTCCACTAGAACCACCTACCTCGTATTGTCCACTAGAACCACCTACCTCGAGACGTATTGTCCTCTAGAAACACTTACCTCGAGGCGTATTGTCCACTAGAACCACCCACCTCGAGGTGTATTGTCCACTAGAGCCACCTACCTCGAGGCGTATTGTCCACTAGAACCACCTACCTCGAGGCGTATTGTCCACTAGAACCACCTACCTCGAGGCGTATTGTCCACTAGAACCACCTACCTCGAGGCGTATTGTCCACTAGAACCACCTACCTCGAGGCGTATTGTCCACTAGAACCACCTACCTCGAGGCGTATTGTCCACTAGAACCACCTACCTCGAGGCGTATTGTCCACTAGAACCACCTACCTCGAGGCGTATTGTCCACTAGAACCACCTACCTCGAGACGTATTGTCCACTAGATCCACCTACCTCGAGACGTATTGTCCACTAGAACCACTTACCTCGAGACGTATTGTCCACTAGAACCACCTACCTCGAGACGTATTGTCCACTAGAACCACCTACCTCGAGACGTATTGTCCACTAGAACCACCTACCTCGAGACGTATTGTCCACTAGAACCACCTACCTCGAGGCGTATTGTCCACTAAAACCACCTACCTCGAGGCGTATTGTCCACTAGAACCACCTACCTCGAGACGTATTGTCCACTAGAACCACCTACCTCGAGACGTATTGTCCACTAAAACCACCCACCTCGAGGCGTATTGTCCACTAGAACCACCTACCTCGAGACGTATTGTCCACTAGAACCACCTACCTCGAGGCGTATTGTCCACTAGAACCACCTACCTCGAGGTGTATTGTCCACTAGAGCCACCTACCTCGAGGTGTATTGTCCACTAGAACCACCTACCTCGAGACGTATTGTCCTGTAGAACCACCTACCTCGTATTGTCCACTAGAACCACCTACCTCGAGACGTATTGTCCACTAGAACCACCTACCTCGAGGCGTATTGTCCACTAGAACCACCTACCTAGAGACATATTGTCCACTAGAACCAACTACCTCGAGGCGTATTGTCCTCTAGAGCCACCTACCTCGAGGCGTATTGTCCACTAGAACCACCTACCTCGAGACGTATTGTCCACTAGAACCACCTACCTCGAGGCGTATTGTCCACTAGAACCACCTACCTAGAGACATATTGTCCACTAGAACCACCTACCTCGAGGCGTATTGTCCTCTAGAGCCACCTACCTCGAGGCGTATTGTCCTCTAGAGCCACCTACCTCGAGGCGTATTGTCCATGAGAACATCATCCCTCAGGAGACCCAGCACCGACAAGGCGACCTGACGCATCAAAGAGTCTCCAACAAAGTAGATGGTCAGGTTGGCCAGGAGAAGACACACTTCCTGTCTGGACAACAGCTTCACCTAATGGGGTCAAGGGAAAATTTTGTTCAACAGTTCATGGTTGGTTAGGGTTAGGCCAAGTCAAGGTCAAGGGTACAATTGTGTTGGACTAAATATAGATAGGCGTGCGGTTGTGTTAGATATAGGCAGACGTACAGTTGTGTTAGACTAAAAATAGAAAGGTGTACTGTTGTGTTAGATTTATCACTGACCTGATACCTGGGGTTGTCAGGGACCCCTGTATAACTGACCTGGGATTGTGAGGGACCCCTGTATAACTGACCTGACACCTGGGGTTGTCAGGGACCCCTGTATAACTGACCTGACACCTGGGGATGTCAGGGACCCCTGTTTAACTGACCTGACACCTAGGGTTGTTAGGGACCCCCGAATGACTGAACTGACACCTGGGGATGTCAGGGACCCATGTTTAACTGACCTGACACCTGGGGTTGTTAGGGACCTCCGAATGACTGACCTGACACCTGGGGATGTCAGGGACCCCTGTATAACTGACCTGACACCTGGGGTTGTCAGGGACCCATGTCGCTAGCTCAGCGTGGATTTGTTGCCTCATATCGTAGCAGCGCGGACACCGACAGTGCTCTACTGACTTGGCCACGCAGGTCTTCTCCCAGCAACAGGGCGTTGACCCGCTGGGGTTGCACACGGCCCTACCCCACCACAGTCCTGGGAAGTTGACGTCACCTACAGGAGGACGCGGGCGTGGATTTAGATTAGGGGGGGTATCTGTCCCGTGGGTCTCTGTCCCTTGGGTCTCTGTCCCGTGGGTCTCTGTCCCGTGGGTCTCTGTCCCGTGGGTCTCTGTCCCGTGGATCTCTGTCCCTTGGGTCTCTGTCCGTGGGTCTCTGTCCCGTGGGTCTCTGTCCTGTGGTATTCTGAACCCGTGGGTCTCTGTCCCGTGGATCTCTGTCCCGTGGGTCTCTGTCCCGTGGGTCTCTGTCCCGTGGGTCTCTGTCCCGTGGGTCTCTGTCCCGTGGGTCTCTGTCCCGTGGTATTCTGTCCCTTGGGTCTCTGTCCTGTGGTATTCTGTCCCGTGGGTCTCTGTCCTGTGGTATTCTGTCCCGTGGGTCTCTGTCCCGTGGGTCTCTGTCCCGTGGGTCTCTGTCCCGTGGGTCTCTGTCCTGTGGTATTCTGTCCCGTGGGTCTCTGTCACGTGGGTCTCTGTCCCGTGGGTCTCTGTCCCGTGGGTCTCTGTCCCGTGGGTCTCTGTCCTGTGGTATTCTGTCCCGTGGGTCTCTGTCCCGTGGGTCTCTGTCCCGTGGGTCTCTGTCCCGTGGGTCTCTGTCCCATGGGTCTCTGTCCCGTGGGTCTCTGTCCCGTGGGTCTCTGTCCCGTGGTTCTCTGTCCCGTGGGTCTCTGTCCCGTGGGTCTCTGTCCTGTGGTATTCTGTCCCGTGGGTCTCTGTCCTGTGGGTCTCTGTCCCGTGGGTCTCTGTCCCGTGGGTCTCTTTCCCGTGGGTCTCTGTCCCATGGGTCTCTGTCCCGTGGGTCTCTGTCCCGTGAGTCTCTGTCCCGTGGGTCTCTGTCCCGTGGGTCTCTGTCCCGTGGGTCTCTGTCCCGTGGTCTCTGTGCTGTGGTATTCTGTCCCGTGGGTCTCTGTCCCGTGGGTCTCTGTCCTGTGGTATTCTGTCCCGTGGGTCTCTGTCACGTGGGTCTCTGTCCCGTGGGTCTCTGTCCCGTGAGTCCCTGTCCCGTGGGTCTCTGTCCCGTGGGTCTCTGTCCCGTGGGTCTCTGTCCCGTGGGTCTCTGTCTCGTGCGTCTCTGTCCTGTGGTATTCTGTCCCGTGGGTCTCTGTCCCGTGGGTCTCTGTCCCGTGGGTCTCTTTCCCGTGGGTCTCTTTCCCGTGGGTCTCTGTCCCGTGACTAATAATTTCCTGCAGACGTATACCAAGACTCATGACGCCATTTTTTACCCGTTCGTGATATGTCTATGTATATACTACACCTCATGTCTTGTCTGTCTAGATACCACACCTCATGTCATGTCTGTCTAGACAACTCACCACACTTCATGTCATCTCGCTGTAAACCCGCCGGAAACTTGTGATACGCTCTGGTTCTGCTGAGGAAATCTTCTATTTCTTGCAGCTGGTCTAATGTAAAGTTGTTCTGTACCCAGTGGCCCCTGGTCATTTCCTGGCTGACATTCGTGCATGAAACTTCTAACCGGTTGAGCGAGTCATCGTAAGATTTGGGAACTGGTTCCCTGAATTTGACCGATCCTCCCCAAAGCAGATGCTGACCGATCAATAGCAGACACAAGACGACGAATAACACAGATGTTGTAACCACCTGATATATCATCTTCTTGGAAATATTAGAATCTAGGTTTTATTTCCGGAGAGGCATACAAGGGTCATTTTTCTCAGAACTTTTCCGGAGGATATTTGTATTAAACTTACAATTTTTCAAGACAACTTCACTTAGATCTAGATCTAGTTACGCCAAGTTTGTTTAAAACTTTTACTTACAAGAACATTGTGAAAAAAAAATCATATTTTAATTAATTTAATGTACACAATCAAGTTTTTAGAACCACATTGGATTTAATAAATGTATCTCGGGAGTATTTCCGGTGGAAGCCATTCTAAATCTAGATAAAATATTTATTAAAGAAATGTAATAAATATATGGATCTATTCTAATAGATACATATACATCTGCATGTGTGTCTAGATACCACCTAAATCTACCTGCTAATCATTGTTTGCAAAATGGAAATAAAAACACATAAAAAACAAATACCATGAAATTTTATTTGAAATCTATAAGAGAGGGCTTTTCAGGAAGCGGAAATAATTATTAAGTTAAAATGTGGATTGTGTGTAGCAGTTAATGAGTTAATGTTAGCAAAAAAATAAATACTAAAAACGTTTTAATAACAAAAAAAAAAAAAATGTTCTTCTTTTTTGTGCATCATTATATAAAAGCTTGTTATAACTGTGTTTTTATTTAATTTTTAAACGCCAAAATGAACCTACCGAACGTAGATGTTATAAAATTTGTACTTTATTTAGAAACTTTAATTAATTCGTAAAAAATAAATTAAGTATTTAATTAAATCAAGTTTTATGATAATGTCACATTGCAATGTCATCGAGTCTTGAAGTTAAGGCAGAGTTATTTTTACTAATATCTAGAAACTTGTGGAAAAGAACACCATTTTTACTTTCTCGTATATACGAAGTATAGAGAAAGTATTGTAATCGTGCACAAAAATCACTTGAAATTTTAACAATTTTCATCGTATTACACCTCAGTCCTTCATCACATCCGAAGTATAGAGGACTTATTTTAATCGGGCAAAAATTATCAATCCAGATTTATCAAAATTAAGAGGTTTTATGCGTAATCCAGTCTGAAAAACTGGGCTTTGCAATTCTGTCCGTATGTCTGTGTGTGTGTCTGTCTGTGTGTAAACACGATTACTTGAGTACCGTTACAGCTAGGTTGATGAAATTTCATATATAAGTATTTTATCAAAATCGTAGATCCGTATCAACTTTTGAGCGATTTCCGATAACCGGAAGTGGTACTTTTTCTACTTTGAATTTTTCAAAAGCCTATAACTTGAGTTCTATTTCAGATAGATAAATGAAATTTGATATGTAAGTAGAAGATCTAATTCTCTACCTTCTGTTAAATTTTGAGTAATTTCCGTTTATCGGAAGTACTTATTTACGCTACTTCCGATTTCTCAAAAACGCATGTAAATTTATAAAGTACTAATAATATTGCGCACTATTATGCACATCTTTAATTAGCGTTCACTTGGTGTGCATTTCTTTTTTCTACGAGATTATATTCTATTTTTAAAAATTTGAGTATTTAAAATGGATTAAAAATCATGTCTAGAAGTCTATATCCCGAGTTGCCACCCCCGAAGTGTTATATTAGAATATTCGAGAAAGTTTAGGGGAGATCACTCCCGGTTTATTTATGTGATGAAATGCACCAGGATTTTTTAAAAATCATGTTATTTTTCGAGGAAGCGCAGTTACAACTATGGAGTCCAGTGATTTGGAAGGCCCACGATGTACTCTTAAAAAAAATGTCAAAAAGTCTTTTGAATACACTGACTTTGACTTAGTCCTCTTTTCTCCTCAACCAAAATCTTCCACTGTTCTACATCCCCGGTTGTATTTTGCAGTCTCTGAAGACATCTATGCGGTCTTTAGTTACTCAAGAAAATTAAGTTTCAAAACTGTCTTTTGCCTGTGGGGGGGGGGGGGGGAGGGGGAGATTCCACTCAAACGCCTGACATTACTAAATATTAAATAGCACGATGATCACTTGGGAAGAGTTAAAATAAATAAATCTTGCACACGGTAATTCCGAGACGGTCACCGTTGCCATGGCAAATATATTTTCTGAAAAATACCAGATGCATGGAAATATTTGACCTTAAGTACCCTAACTTAAACACACTAAAATTAATTTTTAAAATACTTATTAATTAATAATTTACTTTCGGTAGCCTAACCTTTTTAACATGGTCTACCGTTGCGAATAGAAAATGTTCACCTTGAAACATGACCATATTCTTACTTAAACTTTCAGGTCCATAAAAGATGGCCTCATCAGTGGACACGTTATACCAACCCAACCAGCTGCTCAACTGGATGTACCTGACCCTAGCTGACCAGCCCCTGCATCAACACGGCGGCCACATTAGCCCCAGCCTCTACAGCAGCGTGACCAACAGCAGCTCCTCCGGGGCGACTGACCTCTGGCTGAGTGACCACTACCACCACTCACCCGGCCTCGGGAGTTCCGGAAACCATTCCTTGTCCTCTTGCAGCGCTAGGTACCTCGCCAGCAACCTCCAGTCGCTGACCAATGGGAATATCTCTTCCATGGCGAACGCCAGCTTAACCAATGGCGGAGGCTCTGCCATACCCAGCGGGAGTTTTGTGAACAGCAATATCCAATCGTTGCACTCGCTGAGCAACCGCAACACCAACTCGCCCCTGTCTAGCATGATCAACGTGAACAATCTGCTCAAGGTCAATGGGTTGTCCAATCAGAATAATTGTTACACAGAGTCATGGTCAAGCCATCAACACGATTATAACAGTTTGAATTCGGTAAGTAAAATTTCATTGGTCGGTTACAGTGGCGTAGCCATAAATAATTCATGAGAGGGGTTTTAAAATTTTCAATATATATATATATATATATATATATATTATATATATATATATATATATATATATATATATATATATATATATATATATATATATATATGCCCTGAATACTTTAAGCCATTTCAGTGTTCTATCAAACCATAATAATTAAACTAAGGTGTAATCCACCCAGTTGATGGAAAGCAGAAGAACAGAGTTTCTTTCAGGCAAAGCCCCCCCCCCCCCCCCCCCCGAAAAAATTTACCGCCCCCCCCCCCCCGAACGAAATGAAATTTATATAATTTATATAGAAAATATATACTTTTAACAGTGTCCGCCCCCCCCCCACCCCAAAGAAAGTCTACCGCCCCCCCCCCCCCGAAAATTTCTAGTGCCCCCCCCCCCCCCCCGAGAAAAAAGTCTGGAAGAAACACTGCAGAAGAAATAGTATTTTCCATTATAAAATGTGTACTTATGGAAACCACACATTTTCTGGGGACATGGTATCAAGTATGTTGTCGGGGATAGATTTAATAAAAGCAGAGGACTAGAGTAACCAACATACTGCCGTATAATGAACAAAATCAAAACACACATTTGGTCAAAGATATTCATGAATTAGCGTGACTTAGAACCAAAATTTGGGCTGAAATTTGTCGAAAAAGTAAATAATAAACTAATTATCAAACACAAAGCTTTATTAAATTAATTTTTTTTTTAGAAATATAAAAATAGAAAATAAAAAAAAAGGAAATAGAAAAATAGATTAAAATGGCGAGAGGTGGGGGGGGGTATAGATTGGTTTTAGATAAAATTAAAACCAACAAAAAGTAAGGTTTAATGGCTAAATACTGGTAATAAAAGGAATAGAGGGGAAGCAGGGAATAGAGGGAGGGGAAGCAGGGAATAGAGGGAGGGGAAGATAGAAGCAGGGAATAGAGGGAGGGGAAGATAGAAGCAGGGAATAGAGGGAGGGGAAGATAGAAGCAGGGAATAGAGGGAGGGGAAGATAGAAGCAGGGAATAGAGGGAGGGGAAGATAGAAGCAGGGAATAGAGGGAGGGGAAGATAGAAGCAGGGAATAGAGGGAGGGGAAGATAGAAGCAGGGAATAGAGGGAGGGGAAGATAGAAGCAGGGAATAGAGGGAGGGGAAGATAGAAGCAGGGGAATAGAGGGAGGGGGAAGATAGAAGCAGGAATAGAGGGAGGGGAAGATAGA